GTCCCAGAGCTTGACTGTGTTGTCCCATGAGGCTGATGCCAGCAGTCGCCCGTCCATTGAGAATGCCACTGAGTTGACCCAGTTGGAATGGCCCTCAAGGGTGTGGCGTAGCACGCCACTGGCCGGGTCCCAGAGCTTGACTGTGCTGTCCTCCGAGGCTGATGCCAGCAGTCGCCCGTCCATTGAGAACGCCACTGAGTTGACCCAGTTGGAATGGCCCTCAAGGGTGTGGCACAGCGCGCCGCTGGCCAGGTCCCAGAGCTTGACTGTGCTGTCATGTGAGGCCGACGCCAGCAGTTGCCCGTCCATTGAAAACGCCACCGAGCTGACCGGGCTGGAATGGCCCTCGAGGGTTTCCAGTTCCGCACTCCAATATTGTTCGACTTCTGGCGATCTGTATATCCAATTAGGGATGTTTGACTTGAATGTTTCCCGTATTATTGATTCAATAGGAGCGAAGATAAGCCCTGAAGAATACAATTGAAGAGGCGCGGTGTCAGTGATATGTCTTGTTTTTAGGATAAACCGTCTTGCGTCCTGGAGAAATGCACACAATTGAGAATATTCATTGCCCTTTATCTATTAGCATCGCATTGAATATTCAAAATCAAACACTATTCTATGATTACTTACTGGTATGAGTTGCCGCGTCGTGTCAATCATTCCCACTAATTCAGATGCCAGCCCGAGGATGCTCAATGCTTCCATCCAGTAAAGGAAGTGCTCTTGGAGAAATGAAAAAACATCATCCATCCTTTCCACAGGGTCTTTGCATTGCTCTAGATGCTGTACCCAGTAGCGACATGAGTATTGCAGTTCTGGTGGTATGGACTCGTCAATCAAACATTGGTCAATCTCTATCCGTTGTGTACCATCATGTTCCAATTTGCATAGGTTTTTCCTCAAATCTTCGCGCATGACCTTCAGGCATTGAAGTGTGATTTCTGAATGCTTCTTCTTCTCATCAACCCAGCATTCCGTTTTCTCACGTATATTCGCATCAAGAAGGAAGTCTCGAAATGACAGATGAAATAGTCTCACTGGCTTCGTCGAGTCATCGGGCACGCTAAGCACTGAATGTAGTGAATTCAGTCTTAGTTCAATCAAATTTTTGCGAACGCCAGTTAAACGTGAAATAGAGGCGATTGAAAGTGGTGTTTTGAAAAGGATGATTGCGCCAACAACCTTTTGAAATTCTTCAACCAATCGCTTTTTTTTGTGTTCACTCTGTTTGATGAACAGTCGATCAAGTACTGGCATATATGTTCCCTCAAGGTCATTCCCATTTTGATAGGTAAGAATTTCAATAAGCGTTTCCTTTGGGTCCCATTGGGGATCTTCAAGCTGACGACATATAGTTGCAGCGAAGATGAATAATGGCACAGATATCTTAACCAAATTTTGTGTGGTAATTTCTCCAGGCCATTCCAGATTTTGTTCTCGTTTAACCCTGATTTCTGAAAGTTTGTGCTTCAAAAATGTGGAGATATCTTGTTCTATCATTGATTCAGGAATTTCATGGAGGATGAAATCTCGATGCTCACTGTCTTTCATCCCTTTCAAACTCTGATGGATTGATAATTCCGGTCTGCTGGTCAGAAAAATCTTCCAATGCACTGAAGTTAACTTTTGCAATTGTGGCAAGAGCTCAAGGAGGACTTGAATATCTTCCTCCCTGTCACACTCATCTAATGCGTCAATCACAATCAACATATTTGTGGTATGCTGACTTTGATTCAAGCCAGAAAACGGTTGGAAGAGAAGTTTATTAAACTGTTCTTTGAGTGACTTCGTGGAAATGTCAGGATCATCATCAATGGCATTTGAGACACCACGTGTGAGGTGGGGGATTGCAGTGACAAGTTGTCTTGTGATTGTTGAGAAGAGCCTTTTTGCATTACTACGGTCACCTTCACCTCTTTTGAAGAAAAAGCTTGCTCCTAATTGTCCTTGTTCTTTGAGCATCCTTGCCACTGTTCGGGAGATAGTTGATTTCCCTGTTCCAGCCCTTCCACACAACCAGAACATACATTGGCCTTGCACGGAACTTCCCCATTGCTTGATCTGCTGGAGAATCTCTTCCCTGGTTCCAGGAAGGCATTCAGCGTCATGTTGGTTCTCGTATGAGTCGAATGAAGCGCCTTCGGCATTCCGTAGGTTGGAGTGATCGAGTTTCTGGTGAAGATGTTGAATTGAAGTAATCACCTCATCAATTTGGTCTAGCATGTCTTCTGCACTCTTTTGATGCTGAAGATGCTCATTCCTCTGGACCCAATGGTGTAGGGCTTGCTCATCATTTTTGATGGAAGACTCAATTTGTATGATTGGGTGGTTAGACACTGCAGGAACACTCTCCAGCATCCTTTTTCCTAAATTTGCTTTGTGTTGTTTTGTACTCGCGCTGAAAAGCACAACATACTGGTATAGACCTTAACAAGTGCTTTTTCAATCTTGTCTTTGGTTTCAGATTGATTGTTGCAGTAATGGGTTTTCTCGATGAAGGCGCACCGAGCAAGGACGTCTGCTAAGAACTCAGAGGATTTGAACAGGGCGTCTCGAATATCCATATGGTTCTTTGTCATCTGTGAATTCATTTTTGATCAGCCTTTTCCCTCCTTGACTATTAATTCAGTAGACATACTGTCAATCCAAGTGACACAATTGCCCAAGCACTTGATGCATGGTTGGTAGGGTCAAAAGCTGCAATGGCGCTGATGATGTCCTTGAATGATAATGTAGCATCCAGTATTCTGTGCGCAGTATCTCGGATACTGATGTCTTCCTTGCCAGATCCCCGTGTGATCTTTAAGCCTCCATTTTGGTAGTCCTCATATTGCTGCTCTGTCAATTGGATAACCTCTTCCAATTTTCTCAGTGTTCTTGCGTCCTTCCCGTGATCAACCATTTGACTTGATTGCGAAGAGAGTTGGTCGGCCGATAAAAGTTGTTGGTCCTCATTACTTAGCTTCTCGTAGGCAATCTGCCACAAGTCTTTTGGTCCAGTACCTCTCTTCTGCTCATTTGGCTCGTGTGATTTGTCTGAATAACTTGCAGGAGCTGATGATTCAGCATGAGCAGAAGAGCTTTTGTATTGATCTGAGTTGAATGAGTGTTTGCTGTCTGTGTTTTGAGGCCGGTTGTCTCGATGTTTTATCTTCTCCCATTTTCTTCTGAAGTACAGTCTCATGGTTGACAGCCCGAGGAATTGTGTTCAACGCCTGGCTTTGACTTTGAAAGTGGTGGATAGATATTAGCTTGACTTGGTTATAGGGAAAGAGAACACTACGGACGGTGGATGAGCTGGGCTGGCGGAGCTGAGCTGGCGCGGCTAAATGGTGGGTAAACTGATCATCATCCATGTACACTCAGTACAGAGATTACAAGCTGAGTGACGACCTTTAAACATTAGAAGCTAGAATATAACATGACAGGTCACTTCAGTGATCTGTGTCATGGCTTAGAGCACGACTCCTAATCTCAGTTGGTTAAAATAGTTTCATGAGTTTTGACCAAGTCGTCCCTCGAAGAATCGTTGTTGCCATAAGTGGTACTGGGTCGGACCGAGCCGATCGTGTTCGGAGAAACCCATGGAACCTTAAAGATCTAGATTAGAGGATTCTCAACGCAAACAATGCAAACACATAAGGCGGAGTCAGGACCTGATCAGTCTGGCAGTTTGTTGATAATACAAAACAGTGAAGCCTGAGGAGTGAATTACCTACCCAGAATGGCACCAAGGCTCGCACTCTCTCAGGTGGAGCTGGGATTTGGCATGTTTGGGCTGTGCAAAGGGTTGAATGACCCATCAGATGGAAGGAAGCAGGGGCTATCCAACAGGTTTTCCTCCAAAAATGATGAGGAATAGTGCTCAGAGAACTGAGAGGCCTGGCTCTGTGACATTGTGATGAATTATGATAGGAAGAGGGGGGAGGTGTGTAGAAGAGACTTACTAGAGTTTTTTTTAACCAGAAGAAATAGTTGGTGTTATGGGGTTCTCGTACGAACCCAAAGGATGGCAGTTTGGCTAAGGCCAGCACAGAACGCAGCCAGCAAGGGGACCGAAACGACTATTGACGACCTTCGTACGATCCCCTTACATGAAGACTATCGGTGACCTTTTCGGTCAACTCCTGACCTCCGAGAACACTATTTGGAATCTCCTTCCCGTACGACCATAAAAGACTGCTCCCACCTCTGCCCTTTTTGTTTCTTCTTCAACGATTCCTTCTTGTATAGTAAGGGGTAGCTTTAGGTTAAGACAACTTGAGTTAAACCCCTAACAGTTGGTTGCTAATAGAGTTGCATTCAGAGCAGTTTGGCATTGATTAAGCTGTAAAAGCTGCATTTAGTGACACACTAAACCAACTGTGGTTAAAGTTGGATAGGATTGGAATCAGATTCTCTAAAGTTCAAGCCACATTGTAATCTGTGACAATAACTGATAACATACAGCATCATCAAGCATTGAATACAATTAATATTCCATTTATATTTACATCATCTATATCAGTCCTGACATTTCAGGACCGCAAGACCGCGTGGTCCGGTCCTTGGTCGCCGACTATAAGACCGGGACCGCACCATTTCGAGGCCTACCCATTGCTTGTACTAGTCTCTAGTTCGCCTGCTAGCGCGAATTGTGCAAGGATGCCATGATGTAGCCACCAACCTGAAAGCTGGGCTGCACCTTTTGGTGTGTTTAGCAAAGTCTTGACGTCGACCCTACCGTTTCGTAGCAGTTCCCAGCGTGCGTCCGCATTTTTCGGGCAATGTACAAGAACATGTGTTGGTGTTTCAGTCCCATGCCCACACTCGCAGAGTGGAGAGTCGTATCCAGGAATGTAGCGACGATGTAAAAAGTCAGCCAAGCCTGTTTTCCCTGAGTGTAATTGCATCAGGACGGAGCAGCGCGCCTTAGTCAATCCTCAGTAGATCCTAAGGCTCCTCTTGTCTGGGGGGGCGGCAGTGTATCTCCCCCCATGGCTTTTGTCTCTCGCTCCACCGATTAGACCAGAGTCGCTGGGTCTTCTCGTCAATCTCCTTGGATGCCTCCATCCAGTTGTCAGGCACTTGTGCTGGGTGGACTACCTCTGATAGCAGGTGTCGTTTCTTCCTGTGACGTCGTTTCAGGATATGGCGTACCCTAGAGCATGCCTGTTCTACTTGTGTCGCCACCCGGTCTGCTTGAGCCAGTGCACTGCCTTAGCTACCTTGTTGTCGAGATAGAGGTCAAGCGGGCAAATATTAGTTTCCGCTTCCATAGTAGAGATCGGGGTTGCCATATACGCTCCTGTGATCGTCCTCAGGCAATCATTCTGTCTTGGCCTGAGCTTAGTTGCGAGTCTCCTCAGTGTGGAAGCACCTGCACTCTTCCCTGGCTGGTGCCACGCTAAAGCCCCATGAGCTAGAGCGGGTAGAACGACCATCTTGTAGACAAGGCGTGCCTGTAATAGCGGAAGGCCCCAAGTAGAGGCGGAGAGACATGTCAATGCTTGGGTTTGGGATCTCAGTTTTCGTGCGGTCTCCTCGAGGTGACTACCCCATCGGAGGGCTGGGTCTAGCCACACCCCTAGGATTCTCATAACCTGGGCAGGCGCCTTCGTTTGACCACTAACTGTGATTTCCGCTTCGATATTATAACACCTCCGCCGGGAGAAATGCATGAGTTCATATTTCTCAGGGGCAAACTTCGCCCCATATCGCCTCGCCCAGTCCATGCAGCGACCGTGGGCTCTTTCTAGGTGTCTGCAGTTATCCTCTGTGGACCGCCCAAAAGCAACCATGTTCATATTGTCAACAAAGCTAATCCGGTCAAGCCTAGAGTCAAGCTTCCCACACTCGTCGATTAACTCTGCGTTATAGAAGAGGAAGAGAATCGGGGAGATAGGGGAGCCTTGCGGCACGCCCCCGCAAGCGTGGTCCGTCGCTCTAGCATGAAGGAGTTTACCCACCCACAGATACTTCTCGGGACCTTCCTGCTTCTTAGTACGTGGATCAGATGCTCCCGGACCACCATATCAAAGGCTCCGGATATATCTAAGGATAGCACGGTGTTCACAGCGCATCTGTCGGATCGTCCTTCATCACTCTGTCTTAACAATTTGACAACAACTAGCTATACCGCCGTATTTCCCTCCTACAGCCACGTGAATCTAGTCTTCGATGCAGTATGCTTGATAATAAACCTGCAGTTTCTAAGTACCCAGTTTGCTCCCTACCAGAGCGATCGAGTTATCGAATTTGAGTAAATGGGGGACAATTGATCCGAGACACATGGATGGAGCTTGCTACCGCGTACTTGCTCATTGTGCATGCTGTTGTGCAATTAGGGGAGGGGAGGTCTGTCTTTGATGGTTTAGTGCTTGCATCATCAGTTCGACGCTCTACGGCCGAGGTTGTCTTCCATTTTGGTGAGAGGTTTCATGGAGCGTCGTGGACGCGTGAAGGGCAAGATGTTTGGATGCAAAAGGTGAGCAGATGAGAGTCTGTAGGACTATTCCTAGCCAAGAACAGACTGGCCAGCGTAAAGTTGATTCCTGTATAAAGGTTGTATATCCTTGGTCAATTTGCGACACAATAGCTGATAGTATTCAGTTCAATCTCTCTGCTTCAACCTGAGCAATCCGCTCCAGGGCAATTCTAACAAGCTCCTGTGTCCTCTCATCTCCATAGCCAGCTTGAGTGCGGACTAAGCCCTGTTTCCAAGCATGCCATCTATCCAAATCAAACCCCCTTTCCGGGGGATCATGGAGATCGTAAACCCGTCCAATTTTGCAATTTTCCAACATCGATCCTGCAGCATATATGAACCACAAACATGCCGTTCGCACAGCAGATTTATACTGATTTTCTTCCTCAAAAGCATCACGGCATGCATACAGTCCATAGATTGAGAAATCCATCCTGTGTGTGGGTTTGCCATTGCGAGTGATAGCAGCAGCAGCCGTGCTTTGTGCAATAAAGGCAGTGCTGTTCTCCCACTTTTCTAGATCCTTTGGCGTGTGGGAATGATGATGGATAACTGAGAGTAAGTGTTAGTGGGTGATACATATGTGTATATAGGGCAGGATGCGATAAGTCCCCTTACAGGAATTACACATGTCAGCAGCATGCATCCCAAAAGAATGCAAATCTGTCCAAAGATAACCGAAATTCCCACATCCAACCTTCTCCCCCGTCCTCGGGTCGGCCACGGTGACTTTTCGAATCTGTGAGACGAAATCAAGAAGCTTAGTCTGCCGCGTTGGTGCAGTGTTTGCGGCGATATCAATAATCAAGACACAAATATTCCAAGCAACATCGCTGTCGAAGTTGCTTCCGGGTGTGTCATTTTTGGATAGGATTTCTGTTGTGGTCAGGTCAAGGACTTGTTGTACTGCGTCTGCTGCCGATGCATCTGGGTCCGTGACGAGATTGTGTAGGATCTTGAATTCTTGAGTCGGGACTAGGTCGGGGTCATATTCTTCCATGATAGATACCGCCTTAAAGACAACAATTGCCAGAAATTGAGAAATAGACAAGAATGGGAGCCCAAGGACTTTTGGTTGTTATATACAATATTCAGCCCTGCACAGCCTTGCGGCGCGGCGCTAGACCCTGACTAAGCAGCCTTATTGTTAGTCAACTGGCTCTGATCTTCAGGGGCCGAATAAACCTTGCACAGGCACATCATAAGCTCCTGTCTTTACACAGCCATGGTGGGCTGAATGAAGTTTGGCGGCTGTTTTCTAATTGCCATGGAGCCATACCTTTTCCCGCGCCGCGCGCTATGTCCTCGAAGCTTTCCTGTTAAACTTCATCTGCAGATTTCAGCATGTCTGTAATTTTCTGGTAACTTAGTTGAATTTAACTTATTTTAAGATGTTCTTCATGCAGTAGTATCGTAATTGGCCGCCTGAACTTAGTGAAGATAATCTCGACAAGGCATACTGCTTGACCCCATGAAGGATCGGAAGTCAACACACAGAACCCTCTCGACCGCGAGGCTCAATCGTGTGAGCTTAGCAAAGTCAAGCATATGCTTTATTTGAATAAAGCTAAGATGGAATGAATCTATAAGAAGGCTTTTTTATACCTCTCAATCTATTTATCACTTTTCCAACATCATCATCATCGTCCGCTTCTACAGTCATCACTCTTCAACGCCCTTCAGCAACAGTTTCAAATACTTCCATATATTTTTGAGTTTCCCATTCATAATGTTTTTCAATCTCAAGTCTGCATTCCTCGTGGGCCTCGCTGCCACCGCCTACGCTTCACCTATCCTCCCAGTCGACCCGCTGGCTCCCCAGGATATCGAAGCCCGCAGTATCGAAGCCAGAGCCCAAGCCAAGGACGTTGACTGCGGTGGCAGACAGTTCACAGCACAAGACATCAAGAGCACCATTGCAACATCAAAAACAGCCCAAGATAAGCAGTACAAGGACAGCAGTTACAAATTTCCCAAGCCGTATGGTAATGGCGAGAAATTTTTCAACTCGCCAAGTCAGCTTTATGAGTATCCTCTTATGAGTCCAACCTTCACTGGAAGTAGGTGATTCCTGCTTTTTGATGTGTCACTGTCCATTAAAGGGTATAAGTACTAACCTGTTGCAACAGAGGGCAAATATGAGATCTATCGGGTTATTATGAACGAGAATTATAACTACATGGGCTCTCTTTATCACAAAAGTGATGTGAGTAACAGCTTTCATAAGTGCGTCAATGTGGAGGATCAGGAGAAGGAAGCAAAGAAGAACGAGAAGGCGGAGCAGAAAGATGACAAGAAGGTGGGAAAGGGGAAGGGAGGTAAAAAGGGTCATTAAGAAACAATATTTGTTTTCATTCTTAGTCAATGGATTTGGTGTTGCGGAAAAAATGTTTGTATATATCTACACTTGAGTCTTAACTGGCGTCAATGGAGGTATGAAGGATCCTCATTACCATAATACTTATTTTGATTCCTTGTAACTTATAACTAATTGTAGTTCGGAAATAAACAGAACTTACCCCAAAAATTGAGCATAAATACTCAAGTGGCCTCATCTCTCTACCTGTTCATCGCTTCCCGCATAAACCTCTGCTTAATGTAAAATACAATGTGCTGCCCACTAGTCCCGCGATCACCAATCTTGTCTATGTTTGAAATAAAACACTTCGGTGTAGTCGCGCTTCAATTGAATCATTTTTAATACTGGTTAGGCCCTTCTTTTCACTGCGGCACACGGCGACGTAGCAGGTATTGTTCAGTGAGCTTCCAGTTTTGATTATCCATGTGTTGGGTAGAGAATCTGCATGATAGTTCAAAACAGGAATCTCACAACAAGAGTTCCCTTATAAGAAAGACTTTGTCACAACCCGGCTTCTCTCCTGTCTTACCTAGGGTTTTATTTAGTTGTATTTTGAGACTGGGCTCTTACCCTAGGTGCCTCCCAATGCATGTATGCTTCAATGACCTTCTGCTTTGCTTCCATTGTCTGATTCTGGAAAAGTTCAAGCTTTTCCCGTGGATGATGGTGATGCTTGGGAAGCACTCTTTTTTCAAGGTGGCCAAAGGGCAGCTTGACAATACGGCCACAGTCTAACTTGGCTTTTGCAGTCATCCCATTTCTGCTTGTGTTTTTTTACCGTGTCCTGCCGTGCACAAGCCACAACAAGCCAATTGAGGGATTTGGATTCTTTCAGGAGAGAGTTTATAGGGTCGATTCAGGTCAATTGAGGCGCTCAATGAGCACGCAAATTGCACTAATGGTGTTTAAGAACCTGTTTTGCAGATAATGCCCTGAACGTCAACATCAACATCCACCTCATGATGTCGGATGAAGGTGCAGATATCTGCATGCTGTAGAACTACATTTTGGAGGGCATCGGTAACTGTTTCTATCCATAGGGTTAGCTACTCAACTAGCTGAAGGGCCCATGAATACTCACCACTGCTGTTGAATTCCTTGGCTCCAGCGTATCGAAGGAGGTACAGCCTGTCACGGCGCTCTACTAGGATAATGGAACATCCAACTCATGGGTTCTACCTAGGTAGCTATCGACGAGAATAATCAACATGAGGAAGGAAGAGAGGAGGTAACGCCGTATTTGTCAACAAAGCAGCAAAGCAAACAACTGCACCTCATGTGATACCCAGCCAACATGACCAGGCCGTCACACAGCCTGGCAACTTGATCAAAGCCTGTAATCTCATCTCCTTGACACATCCATGATCGTACCATACACGGTGTCAGTCTCTTCTCTAGTATAAAGGGGGTGGCACAATAAGGGGGCCTACACAGAGATTCAAAAGCAGAGATTCCTCACCAAAATAATAGGCAGCAGGAGCAAAAGGTGATAGGAATAACAGCAAAAATCTGGTTGAAGCCAAAGCAGTGATGGAGCACGACTTTATAGAGCATGACAAAAGCATGCACAGTGATGCCAAGCAACAATAGTATATTAAGCCTGAACAGGTATGCTATACCACTTCAAGGAATAATTAGGCGTCACCCAAGTGTACAGAGTACAATAGCATTGATTTCATTACTACCCTACGCTGTACAAGTACAGTGCAAGTACGCTAAAGATAGCAAACCCGGGCGCCTGCAGTGGCCAATCACCGGTCTCTACACTTGGGCGCATGGAGACCTCCTCATGCTTTCTTCACAGCGAAGCGCCGAACAATCTGGCTTTGCCAATGACAGGGCCGGCTGGCAATCACATCCCAGTTTATTCTGCAGCCGCTCTGGTTCTGTACTGAAGATGTCTGCTGTGAAGAGCCGGGGCTCTGGCTCTATTTATTAGGACCCCCGCGCCGGACGAACTGCGGTTCTTCACCTTTTCTTCTTCCATTCTGCACGCTCTCCTTTCTCTTACTGTTTCCTTTCCTAAGCCGCAGCTCTGGTAGCTAGGCTGCTATTATTTTCGGTGTTGGTTTTGCTTGTATTACAACCGACGACTAGACCCTGTTGATCGGGGTCGACGAGATACATAGTAATCTTTTCTTACGACCTAATCATTGAACGCAGAATCCAACATAATGGCAATTTTGAGATCTCCGCCGCTCCGGCAGGTGCGACGCAGGTTGAACACCATTCCCGAGGACGTTAGGGAGTCTCAGTATGCCCGGTCGGATCAGAATAACCGGCAAGAGACACACCCAAAGCCACAAAGCCCGCCACAACTGAAGCTTCAGACAACCGGCCTAAGCATCTCGTCCAGACGGAATCGCATTATCTCTCCGCTGTCCGCTGGGTCAGTCTCCTCCTGCTCAGACACCGAATGGCAGCATCAAATGCAAGGTCTGGACGAACTGTACGACGCCACAGATATCGAGTCGGGAGGTGATGAGTCGACAAATCCAGCCGAAAAGAAAAAATACCTCAGTCTCACTATTCCCCCACACTCGGTAGAGGGACCACACAAGAGCTCTCCAGTTCCACCAACGCCTCCGCCAAAGATTCCAGTGTCGCCAGCAGCTTTGTCAAAGCTTGCACGTTCGGTCCCCGCTGTGCATGCTCCTCCGTCGCTCGACGGGAGTGTATCATCTGATCAGGTGTCGAGTGCCAGTGCTCCAGCAACCCCCGACCTACAGTCCGTTGCCGACAATGATTGGAACACCGAGGAAGTGCGCGTACAATTGGATTTGAACCTAGGGGGTAGTCAGAATCCGGATACCACTGACCCGAACACCGGTTCTGATGCTCAGGAAATCGAGATAGCGATTGAGGATACCGACGAGGACTGGCGCCACTTCCTGGGGAGGTTTCCTGCAGTTCCCTCGAGAACTGCTCACATGTCGACACTGTCTCTGAATCTGGATGCTGAGCCGGCCCGCGAACCAACTCCTGACTACTGTATCAACCTCCCCGAAGATGCGTTGGATCTATTGAGACATATTCACTTGGACGGGACGCCGGAACCATGGTCGGAAACTTCCGAGACAAATGAGGAGATGTGGCAGATTGATCCTTCCCAGGACCACACTCCCAATACTGAAGATGCCACCCCCGCATCAGCTTTGTCGGCGTATAGCTTTACCAGTCTGAGCATTCCTTCTCCGGGCGGCTTTTTTGCAGCACTGACCCCTCGCGCCCGCCATACCTGGTCTTTTCCCAAGCCCGACAACCCTTCGTCAGCCACTGCGGAGGACTTCTACAATCTACCTTTTGGGCGCGATGACCATGGTGGGATTGTCGAGCAGGTTATCGAATATTATCAGCAGCCAACCGAAGAAGGCGAGTTGACGGCTGTACCGGCTATAGATGGACCTCCTACTGCCGTCCGGGTTCCCGCGGAGGTCACATCGCCCGAGGGTCAACACAGTCCATTGAGTCCAACAGCCGATACTGTTGACGAGATTCCCCGTGCTGCTGGTTTCAACACGAACGGTGAATACGATGAGCATTACCACGAGGAGTTGCAACGAAAGGCGGAAGCAAGTCGCGATCGAACGAGCGTCTGGCTGGCGGCACAAGCGTCCTATCTTGCTGCCCTTAGTGAAACTAATCCAGTCAATTCACCGGTTAACGAGCGTCCGGCTCACGGCGTCGACGATGGCATTACTGGACAAGGGCCTTCCGAACAAAGTCGCCAGAAGTCTGTTCATTTTGCCGAGACAATTCCGGAACCGATTAGTTCTCTTCCGTCGGCCACGGCGAGCAAAGATTCAATTTACTGGCGAGGGTTTCAGTATTTGCGTCATGCTTCTGGCCAGCTGGAGGCATTTAAACATCGCGACTTCCGCTTCGACGCTGTGCAGTCCAACCGATTAGGTTTACCGAAGCTTCATGCCAACCGCTTGTCGGGGAACTACGAACTGACTCGCCACGAACGACCTGCCTACAAGGGCCCTTTTTCCCAGGCTCCGCGCAATTCGACGCTCATGTCTATTCTGACCGAGAAGGCTGACTTCTCCCTGCTCGAGAAAGAGCAGCTGGTGCTTGCTCAGGTCCGCCAGTCGCTCTGGGCCATTGATGCTCTCCGGTTTCTCAATGGTGGTAGTTTGCTCACTAGTCCTGCTTCGCGACGGCTCACCAAAGCAACTGCTACGACGAAAAATTCGAAGATTGACAAACGTCATCTGCGAATCTTGGACCTGGGTGGCCATGCTACATGTGAATGGGGGTGGTATCTGGCGTGTGATAACCCAGATGTTTCAGTCTACACGGTCTTTACCGAACAGCAAAAGGTGAATCGCGGTATCAAAGGCCCTTCCAACCATCGCCAAGTCTCTGTGTCGCATCTCTGGAAATTGCCATTTGCCGATAACAAGTTTGACGTGATCTCAGCACGCTCTCTTCCCGCACTCCTTAAGACTGAATGCCCGACTGGCGAGGATAAGGATGAATACGACTTGTGTCTCCAGGAGTGCTATCGCTGTCTCAAACCAGGTGGTTACCTTGAGTTCTTCACTATGGATGCGGAGTTATCCCACGCTGCTCCCTACGCATCTGCAACGTCGGTCGAATTCGCATTCAATCTCAGAACTCGCGGTTATGATCCGAACCCAACGAAGAACTTCCTATCCCGTCTTCGCAAGACAAATCTGACGGGCGTCAGACGAGCCTGGATGTTCCTACCCATGGGAGTTGAGCCGGGCAAATGTCAAGCACCGCGCGAGACCTCCGGACTGTGCATCGAGGGGAGCCAACTCGACAGTTCCGATCCGGCTGGAAGCACTGCCAACGTCGCCAGCCTGACCGGTCTGTTCGGCGGCTGGATGTGGGAGCAATGGCTTCTGAAGTTGCAGATGGAGATGGGACGTGATGGGGATCGGTTGTTGGAAGGTGTCGGGGGTGTTTTCGACGAGGGTCGTAAGAATGGAGCAGGCTGGACCTGTTTGTCTGGGTGGGCGATGAAGCCGAGACGGAGATAGACTTCTCACTGGTTTGGGGGCTATATTGTTTTGTTTTAAATAGTGATACCCAGTCCCCTGGTGGGAGTAATAATAATGTGAATGACCATTCTTGATTAATTGCTGTTTTACTCTTTGCACTCGATGAATGTCTCCGTAACAGAGATATGTACATTAGATACGAGGTATAGTAATTGGCCGTTGCCAAATAGTGAACGCACGAAACAGCGATTCGATATTTCGAGAAACAGGTTATCTGATCATTACCCTCTACTTCATTCTTGAGCACGTTGTTGTTTATCCTGGGCAGACATATTCAATTCCAACCAAGTATAGTCACGTGACCTGACGCCAGAGAAGTTCCGATACGACTGCGATATCGACTTCGTCCCACGACCACCGGATTTCACCACTGTCCATTGAGAAACTGTCGCTGGAAGACCAGCCATTTTCATCCACTCTCCATATTGATCGCCCAGGAGGCAATGCGATAGCCCGTACACCACCAACACCGACTTAAGACCTACCGACTCTCAGTTGACCCTCCACCATGCTCTTCTTCAGGTGCGTTTTCCAATCCCACACCCAGTTACCCATGATAACCAGGCCCTAACCTATACTCTATGCGGAGTGCAGCTTTTTCAAGACCCTCACAAACCAAACGGTGACCATCGAGCTCAAAAACGACATCCGCATCCGCGGCACCCTCAAATCCGTCGATCAGTACCTGAACATCAAGCTCGATGATGTCGATGTCCTCGATCTGGACAAGTATCCGCATCTGTCGTCGGTGAAGAATATGTTTATTCGTGGGAGTGTGGTGCGCTATGTCATGTTGCCGCGGTCGGAGGTGGATGTTGGGTTGTTGGAGGATGCTACGAGGAGGGGTAAGCTAAGCCTTATTCTCCCCTGTTGCTTTGGCTCCATTTCTGGAGTGTTTGGGAGGATGCCGGAAAGTTGTTTAAGGGAGATGTTAATATCCAGCAGAGGCTGCCAACCAGGCTGGAAAAGCTCGTTAATCGACCTGATCCGACCCCCTCCATCCTAAACGGAACTCGATGATGATTACGCTGTTTTACTGAATTGAATCGATACAATCCCTTTGCTTACGACGAGATGTGATGTGACTGCGGTTTTCAGATTGGAATCGCTCTTCTACCGTTTTGCCGTTTCCCTCCATACTGCGTGATGAATATTCCCCGGCTCGATGCCACTTGTATTATGCGATAGCGGAGGTTAGATATATCGTGCGAGGTGATACGACGAAGAAATGAAGGCACATGGGTTAGGTGTGGGAATGGATGTCTTGGAGAGGATCTACGATGTTGACTGGATCGGCCGTTGATCATTATGGTGTTTCTGCACACCCTGCAACTGCTATACGCCTTTAGGAATGAGAAACACTCAAAAGGCACTTGGAAACCTTTGAGGTATCGTAGGATGATATATTGCACGTAGTTGAAGTTTCACGTGACCACGCGACGCGAATTTTCCCGTGCCGGGCTTCTTCGGCTTGTCGCCGTTTCAATCCATTCAAGAACATTGACCGACAATCCAAATAATGAGACACGATTGCGCATGATACCTGCCTTTTAAAACGATCCTTGACCTTATCGCGACGATCCCCCACTGCAGCAAGCGCTGTTGCACCCTTGCCACTCGCAACGAAACCAGCGACGAACATCTCAGCATAGCACGATAAACCACGACGCAGCCAAAATGCCCGGCTCTCTCCCCAGAAAACCATCCTCAACGCCGTCCCGACCAGCTTTCGTTAACAGCGGCAATGCCTCCCGCCAAACTCCCAACTCCACAAAACGCAACACCAGCATTCTAAGCTTCTTCCAGAAAACAGACGCCCCCCCACAAGCGACGTCTCGCCAGCCAAGGATTACCCAGTTTGCTTCGCCTACTGGATCTAGCCCTAGATCTACGAGTTCGAAACCGAATAACAAGAGGAGTACAGGGAGTGTGAATCGGGGTCGTACTCCCGTGGTGCGGAGGGAGAGTTCGGGTATTGGGTCTGCGACGAATGGGAGTTTGTTCTTGGAGGATCGGAGACGTGCTACGGCAGGGAGGGGTGATCATGGACAGGACAGGCCGAGGTCGCGATCGCAGACGCCAGATGATTTTTGGAATGAACGGGACGATGGTGCTGGAGAGGAGGATGAGGAGAGGTATAATGAGAATGGGTCTGCGGTGAAGAGGCTCAGGACGGGGAATTCGTCGACGTTGTCTCTGGTTGAGGATGAAGGGAATGGGAAAGGTGAAGATAATGAGAAGAAGGCTGCTGGGGATAGGTCCGAGTCGCGTTCGAAACCGAAACCGAAAGCGAAGACCAGCGGTCCGTTTATCGACGAGTCGGATAGCGAGGAGGACTTGGATGCGTTCCGGGAGGTCGATGTCGAGGAGACGGTGGCCAGTGCAACGGATGAGCTGCAATCGAATACTGATGGCCCAGATCAGCGGACGCCCGATATACCACCATTGGTAAGAGAAGCCACGAGCCATATCGACGAGGAATATGCGAGTTTTGACGATCTAGGTGAAGGCGAGGAAGAAAACTTAGAGCCGTTGTCTCCGGCTGGGAATGAGTATGAAGAGGAGGCTGTTTGTCCTATTTGTCAAGGTAGTCTGGTTGGATTGAGCGAGATGGTGAGTCTTACATTTTTTCGTGTATAACGATGTGAAGCTAACCAAAGGTTTACAGGACGTATCGGTACACGTTAATGATTGCCTCGATGGAAAGACAAATCCTCCACCAGTAGAGCCAGCACCAGTACCACCCGACAAGTCGACTCGAACCGAAAAGGCTGCTATAGCGCGACCGGCGCAAAGAGACCCGTACACTACAAAAAAAACATCTTCGAAAACTGCATTCTCCAAATTAATGGCCGGCAATGCTGAAGACACAGCATGGGCAACGGCCGCAGCAAACGAAGTGACTTCGCGCGGAAAACAAGCCTACCAACGAACCTGTCCGTTCTACAAGATTATACCAAACTTTTCCATATGCGTGGATGCGTTTCGCTACGGTGCTGTCCAAGACTGCAATGCCTACTTCCTCAGCCATTACCACAGCGACCACTACGTGGGCCTTACATCGTCCTGGCGCCATGGCCCGATCTATTGTAGTAAAGTGACAGCAAATCTAGTCCGGCAACAGCTTAAAGTTGATCCGAAATGGATCGTACCGTTGCAGTTTGAGAAGACGACCGAAGTGCCTGGTACGGACGGTGCACACGTAACGTTAATCGAAGCGAACCATTGTCCTGGGAGTGCGCTGTTTCTTTTCGAGAAGAAGTTTGGACAGGGGCCTTCGTCGAGGTTACAGCGTGTTCTGCATTGTGGTGATTTTCGAGCATGTCCTGCGCATGTCCAGCATCCACTTCTTTGCCCAGATATTGTGGATTCGAATACTGGTCAGCATCGGGTTCAGAAGATCGACGTTTGCTATCTGGACACGACCTATATGAGTCCAAAGTATGCGTTCCCAAGCCAGACCGACGTGATCCAGGCATGTGCGGATTTGTGTGTTCAATTGGACCAAGACGCGGGTGTTCTGCCGCAGAACAGCGGGAGTAAGGGTAGTACGATGAGCCAGTTTGTAACTGCAGTGACTGGCGGCAATGTAGAAAAGTCGCGATCGCAGAAAGGACGACTGCTGGTGGTGATGGGAACATACAGCATCGGCAAAGAACGAATCTGTCTAGGCATTGCGCGCGCCCTCCAATGCAAAATCTACGCGACATCAGCCAAGCAACGAGTTTGTGCCTGTTTGGAAGACCAAGAACTTGATGCTCTTTTAACCGACGACCCCCTCGAAGCCCAGATCCACATGCAAACGATTTTCGAAATCCGCTCCGAGACATTGGCGGACTACTTGGCGTCGATGAAACCACATTTTTCGCGGGTTGTGGGATTTCGACCGACGGGCTGGTCGTATCGGCCTCCATCCGGCAGGATGCTGGATAATCCCCCGGTGGAGACCGTATTACACTCCGCGCAGTGGAGGACGGGGTTCTCGGCAAGGGATCTGGTACCTCAGCGCGGCAGTACGCGTGAGAGTGCGTGTTATGGGGTACCGTATAGCGAGCATAGTTCGTTCCGGGAGTTGACGGCTTTTTGTTGTGCGCTGCGGATCGGGCGGGTGATTCCCACGGTGAATGTGGGAAGCCAGAAGAGCCGGGAGAATATGAAAGGGTGGATTGAGCGATGGGAGGGAGAGAAGAGGCGAAACGGGCTGTTTAGTGTAGAGGGGTGGTAGTCTGTACATAATTAGATTATAGCATAATAGCATCATAACAGATAACAATCCGTGCAATATTCCATAACACAAAGCGCTTCCAAGTGTTCTTCCATATGACCCTTTACCATACGGAGTAGCTTTGCCACAAAGTAAGCTGACATTTGACTGGTGCTGATTCGCATAACCGAACTCGGAGCCATCAATCGGTTGGCGCGCGGGCAGGCAGCTTCTCCAGACTTCCCGATCTCCAGTTCCGGGTGCTGGTATTGCCTCGGGGAGTCCATTAAGGAGGAAAACATAAATACTCAGAGCTCGAGACGGCGATTTCTACGTTCTCGACCATGCTGAGTATCATCTGACATTGATTTGATACTCATATTTTCTTTTATTCAACTGTAACCAGCCCTACTTTTGTTTTGTGCAGGGGACTTCCCCATCTGGTTAGTCTCAACGTTCTTCCTGCCTCGATTATTAGGCATAATAACCACGTGATCTTCATCAAACTGACATCTCTACTACGTCCTCAGAATTTTTTTTCTCTCTCGACAACGAGACAAAATGATCACCGATTTGATCTCGCCTTACGGCGGCTACGCATTGCTGGCTCTGCTGGCCGCGTACTTTGTCATTCCTTACTTGCAGCGATGGCGCTTGAGCGATATCCCCAGCGCTGGTTTCGCTGCCTGGACCAATCTCTGGTTGCTGCTCCAGACTCGCAATGGACGTCGCTTCCTGGCTGTGCACGATGCTCATATGACCAAGGGGAAGATGGTTCGCATTGCTCCCAACCACACTTCCATTGCGGACGATGCTGCTATCCCGGCTATCTACGGTCACGGTAACGGTTTTCTCAAGTCGTGCGTACCCTGACATACACCCAACTGAGCTTTATGGATGCTAATTCAATACATAGAGACTTCTACGACGCCTTCGTCTCCATCCGTCGCGGTCTGTTCAACACCCGTGACCGTGCGGAACACTCGCGTAAGCGTAAGACTGTCTCGCACACCTTTAGTGCCAAGTCCGTCGGTCAGTTCGAGCAGTACATCCACGTCAACGCTGAGATCTTCGTCAACCAATGGAACCGCCTTTGCGAACTCCAGCGCAACCCCAAGACCGGCTATGCCACCATTGACGCTCTTAACTGGTTCAACTACCTGGCCTTTGACATCATCGGTGACCTGGCCTTCGGTGCTCCCTTCGGTATGCTCGAGAAGGGCAAGGATATTGCTGAGATGCGCAAGACCGCCGACGCCCCCCCTGAGTATGTGCAAGCTGTTGAGGTTCTGAATCGCCGTGGTGAAGTTTCTGCTACCCTTGGTACCATGCCCGCCATCATCCCCTTCGCCAAGTACATCCCCGACAAGTTCTTCAAGGAGGGTCTTGAGGCTGTTTCCAACTTGGCTGGTATTGCGGTTGCGCGTGTCAATGAACGTACCAAGCCTGAGGTCATGGCCAACAACACCCGTGTCGATCTGCTCGCTCGTCTCATGGAAGGCAAGGACAACACCGGTAACAGACTTGGTCACGAGGAGTTAACTGCTGAGGCTTTGACTCAATTGATTGCTGGCTCAGACACCACTTCCAACACTCTCTGCGCTATTCTGTACTGGTGTCTGCGCACTCCTGGTGTCATCCCCAAGTTGCAGAAGGAACTCGACGCTACCATCCCTAAGGATGTTGAGATTGCTACCCACGCCATGGTTAAGGACATCCCTTAGTATGTTATCCCCCTTTCGTGTTCTTCTAAAAGTATGCTAACGAAGTCAGCCTCCAATGGGTCATCTGGGAAACCATGCGTATCCACAGCACCTCCGCCATGGGTCTCCCCCGCCAGATCCCTCCCAACGGCAGCCCCGTCACCATCTCCGGCCACGTTTTCTACCCCGGCGACGTCGTCTCCGTCCCCAGCTACACCATTCACCGCCACCCCGAAATCTGGGGCCCCGAAGCCGACAAGTTCATTCCCGAACGCTGGGACCCCCAGCGCCTCACCTCCCGCCAGAAGGCTGCGTTCATCCCCTTCAGCACTGGTCCCCGTGCCTGCGTTGGTCGTAACCTTGCTGAGATGGAGCTCCTGCTCACAGTTAGCACTGTTTTCCGGCTGTTCGAGTTCGAGTTGCAACAGGACCACCCTATGGAGACCAGAGAAGGTTTCTTGCGGAAGCCTCTCGGGTTGCAGGTTGGGTTGAAGAAGCGTGTTGTTTAGACTACGATTGGCTGATGGATATTGCTGTTTTCTTTTCTCTTTTTATCATGTTGTATTTTCTCTCTCATTTGTTCTATCAGACTGATGTATCATGTAACGGTTACAACTTGGGAGGAAATCTGCTTGAATGATGTGATGATATCGATCAATAAAATGTTCAACTTTGTACATATCTCTCGTTTGTGGTTCATGCCAAAGAGCATTTCTTTGTTAAAGCGTCCGATTCCATGCGGTGAAGTATCAATTACCAACTTCCCCACTACAATGAAACCGTACTTGCGAGTCTTTGGTTGACTTGCTTAGCTAGCCAAGTACCAGAGTACTTCCAGAGACAATAAGGGGTTCGTGGGAATCTTTCCCCGATGTACTGTAAACTTGGTGAAACTTAAGGCAAGAGAATATTAACACGCAATGCATGATTTGTTCAAAACCAGGCATCAGTTATAGCCATTCCTAGTAGATGAAATGGGCCACTTACAAATAAATCTCCAATGATGATTACACCATGGTGCAATCAGGAATAATTGGAAGAATCTAAAATAACTATTGTATGTAGTTGTTCATGTCAGGGCTACCACGTCCTCGGCCCAAACGTCTCCCCCTCAGGCAACACAATCTGCACCGCTGTATCCTTCATATCCATCGTATCACTCGCAATCCTCGTCCCCCACCACTCTGGGAAGCTCGTCGAAGTCAGATTCAATGCCAGGAAGATCAAAATAGTACATAGCGCCAAACCGACGTCCAACCCCGCGGACAACACGTAGTTATACTGCATCCACCACCCGCGGAACCGATCCCGAATGAGCTTGTTGAATAGGTACCCAACAATGCCCCAGGAGAGGTAGTTCAGTGGTGTAGCGGGAGGGATCAGGCCCGAACCGCCGAAAATGAGTGGTGCGTTGAGGAACTTTAGAAACCTGTATTTCGGGAAGACCCGTGCGGCAATGTAGATAGACACAGGGAAGATTGCGCCGGCAAGGAAGAACCATAACAGACCCGAATAGATCTGACCAGGCGAGAACATGCGTCCTGGACCGATGGCACCCCAGATGACCGAGGCGTTGAAAAACACACGGCCGTTGGGGCAGGTATAGTTATTCGCTTGGGTGGAGGAGCAGACATCTGGGATGGTGCTGAGCGCCCAGTTCATGACGGCGATTTGCACAATGGAGGACCACAGGCATGCGACCATTTGCGTGGCAAATGTTAGCCTTGGAGGGATTTTCATGTAATATCCTGCCATAACTTAGGATCCGTGTATAGGGAAAGACCGAGGCGAGAGACATACCGAGCTTCATATCCTGACAGAAATACAACCCCTGCGACATCGTGATATACCCATACGTCTTGAACAACATCATCGCCATCGGCTTGCCAGGCTGCATATACCCCACCACGAACTCGGTGATCACATTCAACCCGATATCCACATTCGTCGCGGCCTTTACAATTCCCAATGGCACGAACCACACAACCGCAATAATCAGTGAGATGAAAAGCGCCCACCAACTAAGCTCAGTTGGGTATCCCTGTGTCACGCCGAGGGCAATGCCGAGCATGATTAGCGTTGTGGCTGCATACCACCACCAGGGCACGTTGCGAAAGCGGGACATTAGTCGGGCGTGGATATCTTCTTCCTCGTGACCGAGATGGCGGAAGCGCGTCCAGAGTTCTCTTCCGTGGAAGAGGCCTGTGTGGACGAGGACGGCGATGATGCTGGCGAAGGACAGACCGTAGCTGAGGGCGAAGGAGGTTGAAAGGAACAAGGGCGAGTAGGATTTGTATTTCTCCACATCAAGGGTGAGGCTTGGTGTGAGGATGCGGGAGACATCATACACTGCCCCGGTGTTGTCGTAACTATTTGAGTCACTGATCGGTAGGTGCTTGAAATAATATAATCCGGAATAGTGGACGGCCGCCGTAACAATCCAGAAGAACACTACCATGCCGATCAACGTGTTCGCGATGGCATACCACGGTGCAATCAGTGGACTGAAATTAAACCCGGATACCTGCGTCCAATCGAACGTCAAAGGTATCAACGAGAGACCCGTAGAGCCCCCGAATAACTGGTTAACCACCACATTGTTGGGTCGTATCCATGTTGGAAACGCAAAGATGCTCAGGAACGGCGCGATGTAACCAGGGAACCAGTACCAGACAAACGACCCAATCATGGTGTACAGGAACATGCGGTACTTTCCGATTGTCCACCCAGAGACAGTCCGCGGATCTGGCTTGCTGCGGTCATGCAATGCCGTGAAAAGCGTCGTGTTGATGAGGTTTGCGGGCCAGATCATTGCAGCAGGAGTGACCAAGAATCGATAGAAGAAGCCTGCAAGGCCAAAGCCTAGCATCTGCGTTGAGATGCACATGAAAATCTCGAATGCCCAGCTGAAACGCTGGTTGTAGAAGGCGCGCTGGGCGAGGAGGACGTCGGTTGCGTAGGCTGCGCCGCCTCCAAAGGTTGCGTTGGCCATGATCACAACGATGGCGTGTTCTTTCTTATTGAACGGGCCTGGGTTCAGGTTGAATTCGAGACCAAAGAGATTGTATTTCCGATTGGGCATTGTTTTGGCCCACGCAACGCCGACGGGGTAGGCGACTACCTGCGCCACGTACGACGGGATAACAATGTACGGCTGGCGCAGAGAGAAAAGCATGTTCAGTGCTGAGCCGATGGTCGCAAAGAGCAGGCCGATAGCCCATGCGCGGATGGTATTGCTATGTCCACCCTCGTCACGGTTGGGGACTGCAGCGCGGACTTCCGGGTACGGCGAGTTGTCAAGTAACTCATGGGCGACATCGTCCTGGGCGTTCTTGTTGGAAGTATCGAGGGCGTCGTCGATCTCGTCCAGGACTTCTTGGGGGAGATTGGGATCCCAATGGTGGGCTTCTTTGATGTTTCGAAGATGCTTTGTTGCTTCATCGGGGACTGTTTCGTCGACCTCGGCCGAGGTGGTGATGGCGCCTTGGATATCTTTTTCTTTCATCATGCAGTTCTTAATATCTCAATGACGGCTCAAGGATTTAGAAGGGAAAAGAGGAGGACAAACAGGGAGTTATAAGTCCAGCGTTATCATGAGCTGTCAAGTGAATTGTATGCATTATCGGGATGTAACCCTAACGCCCGGACTAAATCCACATGCAGGGATCCTTGGTACTAGTCCAGGGCAGGGGCCCTATCATGTATCAACCAATTGGCATATTGCATGGCGCGATAAGGCGAAAGCAAGCCTTTTCTTTGTCTACGATAAGCAATCACGGCTCTCGCCGATGCCTATCATAGATAACCACCTTCTTATTTGGGATGGTGTATAGGAATGCACTAGATATGTTCGCGCGAGTGCGTAAATTCCTGATTGCTGGGACAACATGTCTCACCTGTTTGCCACCGTGCGCTATACACCATCAGTGTTCTCGGGTCTCCCGATCATTTAGGATGATCGGACAACACCCCGAATAGTACAATATAACCGTTTCCAGTTCAGTCATCTACTGTCATTATTGCCGCTATTCAAGTAAATACGGAATATATTTCGGAGTGTGAGGAGCGTGAAGGGGCTTTAACAGGCACAATTATAGCGGCTAGTACTTTTCGTTGAAACTATACCTGCAGCTAACTATTGCGAGATCACGCATCAGTAATGAAAAGCCTCCGGCCTTAGTTCTAGACCATCACTGCGCAGCATTTCATACTTGTATTCGAGTAATTTGATTGATGCACATGGGCTCATGGGCGCCTGTTCTGACGCTTGAGAGACTGGGACTGGTTTATACGTAATTCACGAGGCCAGTTGCGATATATCAACATACTATCTTGGACCGCTCATTCCTGCGCTCCGCAGCCTAAATCTCATACATGAGTTGGTCAATCGCAGCCAGAGTGAATGCAATCTTTTCTGGATGCGATTTCGACTCCAAATTGCCTCTCGACCTCTCTGACCGTTTCTGCCCAGATTGCAAAGAATGCATATAGTATACCTGTCTGCAATAATGGAGTAGAATTCCTGATGGATTTTAGCGGCGTTATAGGTCGAGTTGTCGAGTTCGATGCTAGGGTATTTCCAAGGGAACGGTGCATTCAAATTAGTTCTCCTTACGGAAAGATCGGAGCCAGATCTCTGAAGACATTGAAAGAACTCCCAACATGCATAGCACGAGGGCTTTGAGATGCCAATGCAGGGCAGCGGCGAAGGGCCTTCCAGGTCTTTTGAGAGGAAATGGAGCGCGAGAGCTACCTCAGTGTACTGCGGCGTTGATCATCCGTCCTTTCTTTAAGTGACCGCTGGATCCGGGCTTGGGATCGGAGGGACGCAGGGTTTCGCCTTGGCTCTCTAGAGCTGCGTGGGCCACCTCCTTCCACCGCTTAGGCTTAGGCAATTTATTGTTTTCTCTTCCTGGCGAGAGGTAGCGAATTTCAATTTCCTGGCCAGTGAAAAAGCGAGGCCGAAGTCTTGAGTTGTACGCAAAGGCCAACAACCAGTTGACTCCTTTGCATAGAGGAGATTTTTTCAAGGTGCTTGGTTAGAGGGAACCCTGCTCAAAAGATTTTAGCGTGGACATAAATCCAGGGGTGAAGAAACATACCTTCGGAGTCCTCAGGATTTTTGATCTCTGGATGGAATCATAAAACATCCTCAACGCAATGGGAAAGGACATTAAAGCAAGCATCTAGACTTGGAATGTTTTCTGACACAGGTTCAGAAGTGAAAGTATCATCGGATCTCAGAAACTTGTCAATGAGGTGAATAATCTTACAAATTTCATCCAGTGAGGCTGCTAATCTCTGCTGGGTGTCAAGTGAGCCGACAATCCTTTTAAATGCCTCTAAACGTGTTTCGCTTTCTCGGAAACGTTTGTTGATAATGTGAAGGAGCCTCTGAGGAATATCTTTAAATGACGAGCAGAAAGTTGTGGATCTTTTGTTGTGTCTCCTCAGGTAGCTTGTGCGTTAAGTCGTAATATACGAAGGTCGCTTTGACTGTACTCGGTCCTGGTTATACCCATCCGAGGTTTCCTTAGGAGCGCCCACAAAGCGGCAAGATAACCATAAATGATAAGCACTCTTCGTTGGTGGAGATTGTTACTATGATCTTCCTCTCACTTTCTTGGACGCCAACAGCGACCACTTCGCCAGCCTTAGACACAAGGATCTCTGCCAGCCCGTCCAAGATTCGAGCGGTGTGCTTTCGCGAGGAATTGAGCTAGCTTGGAACTCCTCCTTGCTGGTTCAGACGCCTGTTTTCGTTATTCTCGACCTCGTTGATGAGACCAAGGAGCAGTTCCGAGTCCATGATGGTATTGAAACAAGCGCTAGCTGGTAAATAAGTTAGGCAATTGTATCTTATTGAGCACTCGTAGACGGTATACTCCTTGGCATTAAGAAGCACAGATGGAGGAAATCCAAAAGAGCGAAGAGTCGGAATTGGAGAGTCGTCTGAAGGCAGACATTCTGTATACGGGATGATGGGGTTATAGTAACGACCTTCTTACGAGCCCTGCAGGGGTTTAGTTACTGGTACCAGGCATTCACGGTCATTACCAGACTAGTAATGATAACTTCAATTACAGATATTTACATTTCATGAGAAAAAGCGCGACGACCAGGAAGTATGTCGGAGCCTTCGCGGGCAGAATAACTGGTTCCTGCTATGACTGACTGCCTTTTCCATCGAAACAGCTAATATGTCGATATTCGTGTGGGAGTTTCTCACCAATATAGAAGAGGTATGCTTGTGATAGCTATATTGGCGTGTTTTATACTTTGAATGATTTGGATTGAAATTGCAATAGCCAGCCCAGTCTGGAATGATTGGGATATGGAGACGGAGGGCGGAGACAGCCTCCAGCCTAAAATAACTACATCTTAGTGAGCTCTGCATGTAGCCTGTGGAAAGAGGTGTTAACGGTAAACCCATTGGCAGGACTATACGGTAGAGTGGAGGTTAAGACAGGAAACATAATAGTAAACTAGTTGATTATCCTTCGAAGTTAATGAATGAATAGCCTTGATTTGCGCTGGGTGAGACTGAGGAGACATAACAATCCTAACAATAGCAAGCATAGCCAACATTCACTATAAAGCATCATCAACTCCACTTCCGGCTCCCTCGGAAGATACTTAGGATTTCTTGCTATCAAGAAACACTTCGTAAGCCTTTCGGTCATCAATACATTTTCATCAGCAGCAGGTATCGCACTCTGCATTCCCAAGGCTTCTGATATACTCTGGATGGATACACGATTACCATCTCGGCATCCGGAGCGATTTCCGGGAAGATCCACCCTTCTCATAGTACAATCTGATTCCAGAGTTCTCAAATTCGAATTGAATCTTCCTCCAAAAACGAGTGTCTTGAAGTGCTGTCAGAGCCTTCGACGTTAATACCATCGGTTTGGCAAGGTTCTGGAGATGGGATATGTACGCAGCATATGGAAGACATTTCCATCGTTCCATGCTGCATTGATAATCATGTCTGTGACCACGTTTTTGTCTTGTTAAGTTCGATTATAGAGCGGTAAAACTATGCTATCAGGTCAGCCATGAGTATAGCCATAAAAAGGAAGGGCGTATACATCGTAGAGAAATCGCACAAAGATTTCCAGAGCAGTAGGACGGCCCATCGTTATTTCAAAAACATAATCTCTGGCCTTCATCGAAACTCAACCCCCGACATGAGCTCAGAAATAAACGGTCGACAACATCTTCACACTCGGTTCGAGTAAAGTACTGACACGGTTCGGTCATCGCCAAATTCACGCGCTGCTCGGGAGTAAGGTACACCGGGAATGTCCCCTCGGAGTACGCTATTCTCTTTATTGTCAAACTTCAAGAAAGGCTAAGGAACTAGATTTTCAGATCTTTAGATCTACCGCTCTGCGCCTTGATGAGCCCTAGCCATAATGTTAGGTCTGGGTAAGAACGTTGGGCCTCGTCGAGGATAACGACGGCATCTAAATCAGCAAAGGGCTCGTGGCCTATTCCCTGGCATACGTGAAGGTTGCCAAGGTCAACCAAGTGTTGAACCGGATCGGTCACACCTTTCCATCCAGTGGCCTGTATCACTTGTTCACCGCGTCCTCGATAGTACGATGCGAGGGGTTTGGCCAGTATTGTTTTACCGGTCTCTCGGGTTCATCATGCAGTTACTACTTGGTGTTTGTCGATTTCGGCTGTCGGGGCTGCAACAATTTCTGTTCGCGGGCAGATATGGTATTTTCCATTATCGTTGGTTTTCTGCATGTCCAACGCCGCGTATTCGATCGTGTCCTGGATTGGAGCTTGTTTTATGCATGAGCCTGAAACCTGCTCCTCTTACAAATACACGGCAAGATGATAGCGGTCGCAGCGAAGGCACAAGAAGAAATCCGTATGGGTGTTTTTGCGGCAAGTTATGAAATCGTGATAGCAGGTATTTAGGTATGGAGACTATCAGACAGTGATATTGCAGATACTGGTATTATCTTGGCCTCTGCATTTACTCCACGGCCTCAGCGAATATATTACAGAATGGGACCAAAAGACGACCATGTTTGACAATAAGGCTCCGTAGGGGGAAACAACCCTCCGTCACCCAGCGCCCATTCAAAATCCGCGAGAAACTGGTCGTCCAAACAAAGAGAATCCTGCCTATCGACGGGGCCAATCCATGCATGTGAAGTAGCAGCAGAACTCACTTGAGTATCGACTCCTGTGGGGTTGTCAGCATTGTACGGAATGACCTGATTGACCGGAAACAAACCCTCTGATGCCTCTTGGGGAAAGACCATGGCACGATACTGTGCGTCGAATTCATCGCGCCACCACCATACAGCATCGAGAATGGGACTGAGGACGAGACGGCTTCGAATGCGAAGTGCGGTGTACTCGCTGCCATCAGGTTTCCGAAAGGCTTTGGTGCTGTTCCAGAGTTGGTTTAGAATAATGACGCTTTTGGATGCCATGTCGCTGCTGTCGATGGTCATTTGTTTTGCCAGGTTGATGGCTGTGAAGAAGGAAGATTTTGCACGCTCGACGTCTAGTTCGCGTGAAAACGTCGTGCTCTTGAGAATCCGTAATATTGTTACCGAAGCAAGAAGCATTGCAAATGAAACCTGCACTGGAACTATGGCGAGATTCGTAATCTTCTGTCCCACATCTTGAATACAATCGATCATGGCGCAGCATGTGGAAAGTAGCCGTGGAAGGCAACCGGTGGTCAAAATTGTTTGGCCTTTGAAAAGGTGAAAGGCTTGAACACTGAGGCGGGCGAGCATCGTGTGAAACTTATCATCTTGGATTTTTTTTTTTTTTTTAGTTTCGCCTACTTGATCGTGAGAGAAGACATACCTGAGCTTGCTTGAGTGTCAAGGTCGTAGATTTGTCCCTCGAAATTTCGAATGAGAATATCTAATGCTCGTTCCTGATCCGGGGACATATTGCGAACTCCATTTTCCAAAACGGCAGCACTGCATCTGGCGACAGCCTCATGACATCGGACTTTAAGAACCAAAGTTGGCGCGATCCTTTGCAGAAAAACCTGGCTCTGTCCTGGATCCTGCTCGAAGCTTACAAGAGTGCGAGGAGACTGTCCTTTCGTAATGCAAGCACTGGGAAGATTAGCGCGCGTATGAAGATGGCTGCTAGAAGCGTACCGTTGATAAACAATCACGCAATGAGCCCACAACTCAGACCGCCGGGTCATGTCCACCTCCGACAGCGCAGGAATCTTGACATTGGAAAATTCGTGACTGGACATGGGGATATGCAGACCGTTCTGCATTGCAATATGAAGAAGCATTCCACTCATTGGGAACGTCAGGTCGGGCCTGGTCATGTCTTTTGGAAACGGCCAGGTGAGAACCAGGAAGAGGGCTTGAATAGTGTGCCACGGCGCGGAGGTAGAAGAAGCCGATAACAAGACCATGTTTGTGACGCTGCGCGATAGAGCGGTCACCAGCGTCGGATTTCTGGGATATGTCCTGCATGCGACACCGATAATGGCCCAGAAGAGGAACGAGGATTGTGCGTAGTAGGCATTAGGTGTGGTCCGGGGGTCAAGAATTGGAAGAAACTGCGCGTACTGAGTGAAGAACCTTTGCCCATTAGCCTCGATTCCGGCAATAAAGCCAAGGGGTGCGCAATCCGCACAGTTGAAACAACTCATCAATTTCTTTCCCCGACAGCGTGACATTTTCCAACGTGCGCGGTATGGTCAAATCCGCGATGCGTCTGTCCGACACGACATCCACCTGTGGCGTACACGAAGAAGACAACAAAGACTGCGAATAAGCCGAAATCGTCGTCGCTGGTGTAGAGTGTGCCTGTAGTTCCCTCCCATTACTGTTATCCGAATGTGCTCCCATCTCTGCGGCCGCCGTCAACATGGCAATCGGGGTGGGTGACTCCGCGGGAGCTGAGGCCCTCAGTCGCTTTCGTAGGTCGTACGTTTCGTTCTCGAGTTCTGAGAGGCGTTGGCGTTTGTTCTCCCGTTTGAAGGAGTCGTGAATGACACACTCGGCCTTGACTTTGGCGCAGCGACTGCACGGCTTGTCGGGGTTTAACGAGGCGTCGCATTTTGCCTGTACTGCTGTTAGCCCAGTACTTTCTTTCTTTCCACGAGGGCAACCTTTTGCTGTCTGCATGCCGTACATGCTATTCTGCATCGTTTGGGAAGGGATCTGGACGGTGAGCGTTAGCGACTTGATTCAAAGCTGAACCGGGAAACGCACGACTTGGGTGACTGCGACATCTTTTCGTATCAGGATGCCATAATAGGAAGGCTTGGTCATGCTCCCATACTGGCTGGTGTCGGTTGAAAAGCTTAGCTGGAGAGACCGAAGAGGAAGAGGTGTGGAGGACGGAGATAGCATTCTATCTCCGGAATACGCGACGACGCCATACGGGACTATTTACACACTCTAGCACATTAGATGGTCTAAGTACTATTCAGAGGAATTATAATGCAGTAATCTAGTGTTGTTCATATTCCCGATATATCCAAATCAATTCAGTATATCAATATACAATCGAGATCCCGGAACCGGCTCACAGATTGTCGGCCCTGCGTCATCGACGAATGAACTTTGCATCCGATTGGCCCACTTGCCGGTGCCGGCAAGAAACCGTATATGCCGGCAACAAAAAGGACAGAACAAATGTAGGTTGAATTCACCGAACAAGTGAGCGGTGATGCATATATAAGAGCTGATTCCGTTTATCTACAGCTGAAATTAAGCGGCGCAGCTGATGGCAAATCCCACTGGCGGCTATTCATGGAGCTGCGATGTTGGACACGCTACGGACTCTATATACTGGCATGCGACTTAGGCCTGATGCCAAGTTCTCTACTAACTCGAATCCCCTCCTGGAGTCCCTGTTAGGCAAGCTTGGCTTGGCCCAGGCCTTCAGTCACGGGGGTACCTCCGTCGTCTGGCTACAAGTGAAAATGACCATGACGCTCAATTTCACCTTCTAGCGAAAATTGCAATCCGACGCAAACTGAAAATAACGCCTCGAGTCTAGGATGGCTGGTAATGATGGAGCCCCGCTCTCATCGAGCATCGAGGTACAACCCCATCACATGCCGGCGGACAGCCTCAGCCATCAACAAGCGTGGCACAAGGCTGGAGGGGCAGCGTCGGACACTCTGTGCTCAGCTATCCTCCAGGGGCTATGCGACTTGGTTGATGGTGGGTTGGTCAGAATTTCTCCGATTACCAAAAACGAGCATCGCCAGGTGATTACGATACCACAATACCATACTTTGCCCATGCAGGATACCGAGGAGATACTGCGGCTGCGTCAATGATTCATCATGGGGAGGGGGGGAAGGCGTTGACGGTTGATCGAAATGCAACAGTGGGACAATCCTCTCGTTGGTCTTCCCACAACCTCGCCCTCAGCGCCAGGTGACATTGGCTGTCTCGATCCTGAACGGGTTGAGGTGTGATGATTACCGCCTGGCGTTTCATCGTACAGCTTTGCCCGTGTCTTGTGTAGCCGCCAGACAAGTCATCGTACGGGATTCCCAAATCGAGACATGATGTCTGTTGATGCCATGTTGGGTTCGATTGGCCGATGACGGATGAACCGTTGCAGCGACTTGGTCAATGCAAAAGGGAGTTATGCAGCCTATTTCCGTATCTGTGCTTAGCGCGGTAGGACGTCCATGGTCGTACGCGTTCAGTTTGAGCTGAGCTTATCCTCGTTTGAGGTTCGCTATCAGGCGACGGACGATGATTGCTCGGACACCAGAGATTAGACATATAGAGGCGTTTCGTGGCCTGGATGGGGGCTGATGTAGATTCGAGATGACAACAGTAACCACGCCCCGTAGATGCAGGCAAATCAGACAAACCATCAACTAGTTAGCCCCTTCGATTTGCCTTGAAAGGGGACTGGGGCAAACGGATGTATTCAGAGTGACATCACCGACGCTTCAAGCGGCAAGTACATAAATGCCCCATTCCTCGATAAGCTCAAAAACAAAAGTATCAAGCCTACCAAGTAAATAAATCCATCCAAAATGGTTGATAGAATGACCTCCAGCTCCGACCTGCCCGTCGCGGATCTCCCCTCCGCCAGCTTCGACCTCCCATCCATCGATGAAATCAAGCGCGCAGCAGAGGCCGGCCAGCGCATCACGAACGAAGATGTCTCGGTGATCTCGCAGGTCGAGAGTGAACTGACTGGCTCTGGCCCTGTCCATGGAGGACCAGCGGGTTCGTCGCTGCGGATCCTAAGACGATGGTTTCTGAACCAGGCGATGGCTAACTGAGTGCGTTTTAGCGACGGCACAGAGCCTGGCGATGAAGCAGATGAATTATGATACCAAGATAGACGAGCTCACGCGTAAGCCCCAGAGTCATATCACTCAGGAGGATGCGCGCGAGATTCAAGCTACCGAGGTGTGTCCACCAACATCAGTCGTTGCGAGAGAGATATCGTTCTGACCAGACAGGGACGCGCATTCAACCGACCTCCCGAGGCAGGCTCCGTATCTGCTCAAGTTCGTTCCATCGCGAATCGAAACGAAGCATTGGGACTCCCTCCTGTGGCTGTCGATGTGCCGGTGTACGTGACCAAGGACGATGCGCGGGAGGCTCAACACGCCGAGTCGACGGTATACGGAGGACAGAATCCACGAGGAGGCATGGCGGCACAGATGCAAGTGAGTATATTCGCTTCGACAGTGCTGGACACAGACTGATCAAAGCAGAGTGCCGCCGACAAGATCGAACATGCGCGACGAGGCAGCGAATAGATGCCTTGGTGCCTTGGTAATGTATCACATAAGGGATTCTACATGTAACTAGTCATTCTACCACATTTATGTATTCTAGCCAAATAAACACTGGGATCTCCCCAATTTCTGGGGATTCTACAGGATTGTCGATCTATATAGCACTGTACCTGTACTTCCCCCTATTCTGAACCCCAATCCGGGACAAAGTTAAACACGAGGACTATTGGGCAATAGCCTGGCCGCAGTTCTCCCACGTCACTTTGCTGGATACCATGATGCTGTTGTTGGATGCGATCTCAGTGTGTTGGCTGGTCTCCTTTTCAATTTAACTAGCATCGCGATTGCTCAAGACGGTAGGCAAATGCCTCTCAGGTTGTTCTCACGGATATATCTATCATCCACGGGCGGCGCTGACCGGGCGATATTCAGGAGAGGAGAGGAAAAGGAGACGCCATGAAGCGCACCGTGTTCACCACGACGACCACCCTCCCAGCGACCATCCCCCGCGAAACCGTCATCGATACACTACATAATCACCAGGAAATGATCGAGCTGAATCCGTTGGTGATCCGCTACTCCCGCTGCCAACCGACGCCCTCCGCTCCGGACGAGGAACGCGCCTCTAGCTGGGCCTGGTACGAATTGACGGACCGCATCAAGTTCTTGCCCGGGAAATGGTTTCGCGGGAAAATCAGCTACAAAGGAAGTTTTCGGGATCTGCCCGGTGGACTCCGGACACATGTTTATGCGCCGACGGGAGTGGACATTCGGGCTACTTGGAGTGTTGAGGGGAATAAAGAGGGGGGCGAGGGGGAAGGACACGAGGAAGGCCAGGCGAGTTCCGATGCAACAGCCATGAATGACGGTCTTCATGGTCAAGGCTTGTACCTGCGCGAAGAGGTTGATCTGCGATGTCCATTCTGGTCGGCTGGGTTTGTCAAAAGGACGATGCGGCGGTCGCATGGAGTCCTGGTGGATCGGCTTATTGGCAAGGCGGGTCATGGAGGAGCAGAAGCACAACAACAGCAACAATCACAGCAACAACCACCAGCATCTCCGGGTTTAGCGTCACCGCCAGAGATCCGGATAAATGACGTCCCCGCGTCGGTCTCGATGGAGCTGGCACGGCCGCGTCCGAGACGAAGAAAGCAGTCTGTTGCGGAACTCGAGTAGCTTCAGGATTGGACAGAGATACCCGGATGGCGTTGGTTGAGTGGTTTTTTGGTCTTTGCTTTGGATACACATTATTGAATCTAATTCCTTGACGCTTCCTGTACGGCAATTTGAAATCATGCGCGGCGGATGTAGAGAGATATCCGTGTCCTAGTTCTCTTCATCTTTGTTCCTTTTCCCTTTCTTCCGGTCAGCCACATACATTGACAAATTTTGAACAAGTGCAAAGTCAAAATGCTGAGATCTGTCCGGAAGTCTTTCAGCTAGCCGTCAGCTGAGTAGAGACACCTTATCGAGGCCTTTTCGTATTCCAAATCGCTGGATGATCGCCTGGATTGACAAATCACGCCGGCTCCGCAGACGAAGCAATTAGGCCAGTAATCCCAGCATTGGGATCCAATCGCGGTCCCCGTCTCTCGCACTCTAGCAATGCTAGCAGTGATTCTTTGATCGGAGCCCAACTAGGACCACTTATGCGGAGTACTTACAGCTCCAGTCAGGATAATGCAATGACAAATTCCGGTCGAAGCCCATGTCCACCGAGAGACAGCGAAAGACAGATGGACTACACGAGGTCGGAGAGGGTATAAATATCTGTTTCATTCCTCCCAAAGGTCCTCAGTATCGTCATCATCATTGTCAGTCTATAGTCCAATTATATTCTGCCTCTCGTCCAAAATGCCTATTTCCGGTCACTGTCTCTGCAAAGCCGTCACCTACTCGGTCAACATCGAGCAGCCGCTCGCTACGGCTTATGACCACTGCGATGACTGCCAGCGTCAGAGTGGCTCAACTTACTGTATGTCGCATTCTTTTTCTTTTACCTTCCTTGGAATGTACACTAACGATCGACAGCCCTCGTCGCCATTGTCCCCAAAGACCTTCTGGAGCTGAACGGTCCTACCAAAACTTACACCAGCAACGGCTCTTCCGGCCAGCCAGTCCACCGTGTCTTCTGCGGCGAGTGCGGTTCGCCCATCGCCCATGACCCCGAGGCTGCGCCCCCGATTATCGCCCTCAAGGCCGGTACTTTCGACACCGAGATCAAGAAGACATTGAAGCCCGTAAGTCGCCTATCTTCTTTTTTTAAAGACAAAGGCTAATAAAAATAGGACACCGAGATCTGGACCGCCAGCAAGTTGCCGTTCTGCTCGGAGCACTTGGCCAAGCCGTTCGAGCATATGCCTCAATAAATGAGATGGCATGGATTGATGTCGGGTGATGAGTGATGTATCGTATGAATAATAATGAATATTATCGGGTATTTCTACCACGGCTCTTTTTTTTTTCCTCTTGGTTGTTTTTTCCGGGTTCCTTAAGTATATATTGCCGGGTCGTATGCAAGCAAGTTTTTACCACAGCACAAGGCAATGGCAGGAATGCTCAACATAACAGACTCGCGAACGAATGCGCAGCATCAAATCTCCATCCGACACAATGCCATTCTCGCATCTGATCTGAAGAAAACGACCGGTCTTCGCGTCCACGATCCCGGATTACAAAATACCACCGTTGTCGAAACGGGCATCACCGTTTCGTACGCTCTCTTCACCAGAATATGAGATCCAAATGAACTAACAGTGCAGACATCATGATACCGGCCTGCTACTGTTCCGCGGATACAAGTTGCAGGATCTCTGGGACATCAACAGCGACTTCGAGGATATACTTCATCTGTTGGTCTGGGGAGTGTATCCATCATCTGAGCAGAGGAAAACACTGAGTCGACAGCTGGCCACGGCCATGTTGGAGGTGCCAGACGTTGTCTTCCAGACGATTCGCGCTTTGCCGTAAGGTCCAAGTCAATTCGTGTTGACACTGCTAACAAAACAGAAAAACGACGTCGCCATTACCGCTTTTGATGGCCGGACTTAGTGCCTCACTATCCTGTCGACCAGAGATGATTCCAGCATCCACAAATCCTCATCTTTACCGCGATCCCAAGATAGCAGACCATGCCATTATCTATACCATTGCCACCTACGCCGTCGCATTTGGAATCATTCGATGCCACCGGCAGGGCATCACATTTACATCTCCTTCCGTCGATAATAGCTACCTTGAGAATCTCTTCATTATGGCAGGTCTCGTGGATCCGTCTACTGGTCGCCCTGATCCCGTCAGGTTATCCTGCTATCGGCACTTTGGTATCTTCAATTCCGATCATGGAATGGCTCTTTCGGTGTTCTCTGCGCTGGTTACGGCGTCTTCGCAGACGGACCCGATTTCTTGTCTGATCACCGCTACTGGCGCAGCATACGGTCCTCTCCATTTTGGGGCAACCGAGTCTGCCAAGCGCGCTCTACTCCATATTGGAACCATAGACAACGTGCCTTCATTCATCGAGGGGGTCAAGCAGGGTAAGCAGAAGCTGTTCGGGTACGGCCACCGCTCATACAAGGGAATGGATCCACGTGTGCAGCCTATGCGGAAACTTGTTTGCGACCTCAAACTCGATTCCGCATCAAATCCGCTGCTGAAAATCGCCGAGAGAATTGAGCAGGTTGCATCTGAGGATGAGTGGTTTGCGCGTCGTGGATTGTATCCCAATGCGGATTTTTACGGGCATTTCGTGCTTTCCGGGTGGTAAGTTCTTAAGATAAAGGGGCAGAAAGATCCGACTAATGCTTGCAGTGGCTTCGAGACAGATATCATCCCGGCAGCCATGTTGGCTCAGCGTGTCGTGGGTATCATGGCCCATTGGCGGGAATATATGCGTAAGTAATGATCCTGGCTGCCTCGGCGATTTAAGCCTAATGATCGTTTCTTTATATAGTGACAGGGGGGAAATTGTTCCGGCCTTCGCATATCTATACAGGAGAGGAGGAGGGAAAACTAAAGCTTCACCTGTAGTTACTCTTCGTATACTGTTTACGCAGTGGACAACAAGTCAAGATGTCTGAGGAAAATGAGAATACTCCTCTCCTCCTTCCATATTCCGTTTTTACTCCGTCTCAGAAACGTCTCCTCATCCTCACTGCGGCTCTAGCATCGAGCTTCTCTCCTTTCTCGGCTAATATCTACTATCCATCGCTCAACTCTATCGCCCGAGATCTCCATGTCTCCAGCTCACAGATAAACCTCACCATCACCACCTATATGGTATCGTCCAGTTGCCCCTGGCTCCGTAAACACCAGCTAATGAACAGATCTGCCAAGGCCTCGCCCCAGCATTTATGGGTTCTCTGGCCGACCAGGCCGGTCGTCGCCCAGCCTACCTCCTCTGCTTCATCATTTACATCGCCGGTAACATTGCTCTTGCCCTACAACATAGCTACCCAGCCCTCTTGATCCTCCGTGCCGTGCAGAGCTGCGGGAGCAGTGGCACTGTAGCGCTAGCATCTGCCGTTGCAGCAGACGTAATTACCTCTGCTGAAAGGGGCATGTACATGGGAATTGCATCATTGGGGAATATTCTCGCCCCGTCACTAGGGCCGATACTTGGCGGTGTTATTTCTCAGTATCTAGGATGGCAGGCGGTGTTCTGGTTTTTGGGGATTATGGCGCTGCTTTTCTTTGTGCCATTAGTTGTGTTCTTCCCCGAGACTTGTCGGAGGATTGTGGGGGATGGGTCTGTTCAGGCGAGAGGTTGGAATCGATCGGTCTTCAACTGGTGGAAGGGGCGTGGCCACTCTCTGGAGGATGAGAATAATGGTGAGCCTCGCCGTCCAAAGATCACATTTCCGAATCCGCTTGGTACACTGCGTCTTCTATTTCACCGACCTACCGGTTTTGTGCTTTTGGCAAATGGCATCATCTATGCCAGCTACTATTCCGTCACCGCTGGACTACCGGCACAGTTCCATGAGCTGTATAATCTACAAGACCTTGGTATCGGTCTAAGCTTTATTCCAGCCGGATTGGGCTCACTATTCAGCGCTACGGTGAATGGCATGCTAGTGGATTGGAACTATCACCGCGTGAAAATGAAGATGGGATTACCAGTAACCAGGGACCAGAAGCAAGACCATGGTGATTTCCCAATCGAGCAAACCAGATTACAGATAGGCCTGCCTATGATGGTATTCCTCTCCTTCTTTGCTAGTAATTATGAATTATATTGATGAATGGTAGCTCGCAGCAGCAGCAACTGTCGGATTCTACGGCTGGATTCTCTCCCTACACCCACCACTAGCTGTCAGTCTGACCCTGGTCTTCCTCATATCGCTTTTCATAACAGCCGCGTACAATGTTCTCAACGTCCTCATCGTCGACCTGTACTATACCACGCCCGCGACAGCCATGGCGGCGAATAACCTGGTGCGATGTTTTTTGGGCGCTGCAGCAACGGCAGTAGTGCACCCACTGAGCAGCCAGTGGGGAATTGGATGGACATATTCGGCTGTTGGGATGGCGATGCTGCTGGCGAGTCCGTTGTTGGGCCTGGTTTATTTAAGGGGACTGCAGTGGCGGGTTTGTGGAGGATGAATTAAATTGCCGATGTGCGACATCGGGGGTATATGTCGATTCTCTGGGTTAAATAAAGGGCTTCGTAATATCCTCTTTGTGAATTTCAACATTAGAACATAATGATGCTGTCTACCCTTCTTCTTCCTCTGGTTTCTGCCCTGCATGGCCATCTGTACATGCGATATCCGGATAGCCGGTGGATAACCCCCGGCGACACACTTCCAATTGCTGGTATATGCTACCAATCAAACGAGCACCATCTATAAAACCTAACCGCTAATGTAGAAACCAAACCAATTCCAATCCTCCAAACTACTCTTCCCTGCACAAGCCCGTATCTCCTCCTAACCATCGACCCAGACGTCCAGTACGGAACTACCTCAACCATCGTGCTGCACTGGCTCCAGTCTCTACGTGCAGACTGCCAAACAGGCTTCCTATACGAAAATCCTAAATCAGAGGAAACGGCAGTTTATATACCCCCTCAACCACCGAAGCGATCGCACCATCGCTATATATTTCTCCTCTTCCAGCAGCCGGAAGACTACAATCTCCCAGAATGTTACCAGCATATTCTCCCCGCTACAAAAGAAGCACGCGTGGGGTTCAACCCAAAAGAGTTCGTCGAGGTACTGGGATTAGGAGGCCCGCTTGCTGGAAACTGGTTTTATGTTGAGAACGGGGGCGAGCCGGTGGCTAGTGATGTGGCTCCTACGACGACTTCGCTGAGGGTTATTTGTACCGGCTCTAGCGCTCGTAACGAGTTGTAGTGTTACTACGAGGAAAGAGGGGTCCGTGTAATGTTAGTTGAAAAGAACAAAACTCAGTATTGCCAATTTGCAAAAACGGTTGTGTAACGGTGCTGCAAACCCTGTAGATGGGTTGTGAAACATGGCATTCCTCACATGTGCCGAGGTCACTAGCTGATTCAGACGTGCAGCTATATATACCATAGTGGTATCAGAAATGAAACTTACTGGATGGTCTACATACTTGCAGAACTGTCGGAAAAAACATCAACTGAATGAATACCATGACCCTACCCCGAAGCGTCAAAGTCCGCTCGACTTGCAACGCCTGCCAGCAGGCTAAGATTCGCTGCAGCCATGAGAAGCCATCATGTCGACGGTGCCAGAAGCACAATATCGACTGCGTCTACAGCGTCTCGAGGCGGTTGGGAAGACCGGCGAAGAAGAGGGACCCGGATGATAGGAGGAGGAAGCCGAAGAAGGAAGTTGAGGAGACGCAGGGTATTTACCTATTATCCATGAAGGAAAAGAGGAAGAGCTAACGGCCTTATTAGATATTGACTTCACCGATAGCTGGCTACAAGACTTCATCACGGACCTCCCAGACACTGGAATCCTGGATACCGTGACGGAGAACAGTGCGCTGGACTCGATAACGACGTCTACCGGCCTCCCCGATCCAGATCCTCACACCATCCCCTATTACGATCCGGTACTTCTCCAGTCCAGTCCTGACACCATCGATATGGACATGGCACTCTTACCCATGGACATGGACACCTCGACTTCCCCGGCAGACACCCTCCCTTCGCTTCCCACTCCCGTCTCACCTCCCATCGACACCAGCCCTAACCATAACCATAATAGCAATGCAAACCTTCCCTTTCGCCAACTACAACCACCTCAATCAGCACCCGGACCAATGCCCCGAAGACCCTACGATGAATACCAATTCCCCGACCCGTCATCCACATCCTCGCTTCCACCACCCCTAGATATCAACACCAACATCGACCCGTATACCTGTCAATGCCAGTGTCATGAGCATACTCTCCGTGAAATCATCCGCGTTAACATGACCCTCTGCGCCGCATCGCGTGTAGCCCCTGCTGGAACTATCGACGCAATCCTAACTTCCCAGAGGGGACTGCAGAATCTCGCTGAGACGATTATGCAGTGCTCAATTTGTGCGGGGACCCGACTGACGCTGCTTACGGTTGTCATGGTTAGTATTGATAGTCTAATTTCGGCAATGGAAGTTATTACGGCTTCTTCGACCGGCTCACCTGGAGCGGGGACTGGGGCGGCGGAGGAAATGTTCGGGAGGTATCCCTCCCCAAAGGGGGTCGGGAGTGGAAGTGCGAATGGCACGAATGCTGGCGGCGGCGGGGGAGGTACGTTTCTCAAGTCTCAGATTGAGGCGTGCCCGCTGTTGGTTGGGAGCTTTCGTGTACCGCAGGAGGAGAAATATACGTTTGTCAAACAGGTTCTGCAGACTAGACTCGGGGGGTTGTTAACGACTATTCGTCGGATTCGGTTCTGTACGCAGGAGATGCTGGCTGGGACCGCGGCACGAGGACGGTTGGTGATGATGATGGAAACGGATCGAAGGCTGCAAATGGTGATGATGAGGATGAGGATGTTAGGTCGATAGTTCGATAGTTCTAAAATGAATGATCTGTCCATTCATGACTGAGTATCATTACTACGATGGTTAGGGCAGGTTATGGTAATATCAAGCTCTGAGTATTATTAACGAGCGTCATATTAGGTACAAATATCAAATAGAAACCAAACACCAACTTTTCAGTAAACAATGCCACCTAATGCCCAGTATAAAAACAAATCGAAGTCGTGTATCTGGCAAACCGGTGGAACTCGTCCTGAATGTGCCCAGCGCGATCAATTGCCATCCGGTGCAGGCTGACCTTGAACGCAGTCTAGGTCGCAGTCGTAGTCACGCCTCCTTCGATATTAATTTGACCGGTGGAAGCCTCACCACTGGCAGAAGCCTGTTCAGCAGTAGTTCCACCGGCAGAGGCCTGGCCATTAGCACCCTCAACGGTAGCATTCTTGTCAGTGGAAGGACCCAACGATCCTAAGCCAGTCACATGAAGATTAGCATAAGGCATCCCTGTGAGAAAGAAAGCGCCAAACAAACCAATCCACTGTCCCCAACTAATTACCTTGCCCTCGATTGCCTTGTGAAACTCCTTCTTGGTGACTTTTTTGGGGCGTGCAAAGCTGAGCGGCGCCAAATCCAGAGAGATAATGGTGAAGACGTAGCGATGGGTTGCTTCGTTAGCAGGAGGATCAGGCACGAGATACGAGTTGTTGCCGTGGGTGGTCACGAAGTTCCAGGAGGTGGAAGTGAGACGAGGATTATTGGCACCGGCCTGTTTCTCGACGTCGTTTACAGTAATGTTCCTGCGAGAAGGTGGGATATTGTAGAAGATTCCATGGTTCATGTGGTCGGGGTATGTAGCGTCAAGATCCTCACAGAGCAGAGCGTAGGACTTGACATTGGCCGGGTTGGCATCCGTCCAGGAGAGACAGGGCAAACAGCCTCCATCGTCTGCATCGGTGGTGTGTTTCTTACGTAGGATGGAGCCAGGGGGGCCGATATCGTCGGCATAAAGTTTAATGTGACTCTCGATACCTCGGAAGGCAGGACTCAGAAGGATCTGCTTGCCGTCGTTGTTGCAGACAAAGGAGGTCACTTTACCAACCATTCGCCGGGTGCTTCTGTAAACCCAGTCCTTGACTCGCTTTGGAGGTTGCTGCTGCTGGTCGGCCATGGTAGCGAGAGGCGGGTTGTGAAATCGAGTAAACGAATAAAACGATAACGAGATGAACGGGAATGCGGGAAGATATGGTACAAAGAGAGCAGCAACTCGAGAATGGATAGGAGGAGAGAGAAAGAGAATGAATAGTGGTGACAGCTGGAGGAGAAGGAGGTCAACGGCGACGAAACGGGAAGGAGCGAGGGCTGTCTACTGCGCAGGAAGGAGCAGGGAGAGCAGCCGCTCCTCCTCCTCCTCTTCCTCTTCCTCCTCCGGCATCTGCAACGGCAGCAGAAATGGAAGTCGCAGCCTAGAGACATCACGGCATCACAGTGAATGCAAATCGAGTTCAATTTGCCGAACTCGCTTTTCAACCGTTATCTACGGCGTCGTCCTGAAGCAACCCTCCATAGACCGCTGCCTGGGGGTTCTTTGTCTTCATTGTGTCGGTTTCTGCCTGCTCTTTGAGTGTCTCTGCCGTCCGTCTTTAAAGTGCAACTTGTAAGCACTGTTTCTGGTTATGTCAATTCCAGCATGAAAACCATGTCTTGCCTTGATTTGATCTGATCTGATCTTGATAAGATAACAATCTCCCACGTGACCTCCCGCCTTGTTCCGCTGCTGATTCAGCATCCCGTGACCCTCCGCAAACGAAACGGACGCATCTCCTCTTTCTTTCTTTTTCCTCGATTGGAGAAAAGTAAAAAGACCAGAATCCAGTATGGCCATTGCCTCCGATTCCACCTCGGCCAATCGCTCCCCCAAATACCCCGGCGAAGACACTACACCCACTAGCCAGCGGGAGATCCGCGGGTGGTATGCGTATGGCATTGCGGCCGAGGTCTTTGCGGTCTGTGGTGTGGGTATGGCAATTCCTTTTGCCTTTTATTTTGCAATATATTGGCAACGCTAACAATGCGACCGGGATTGTCTAGGCTCCTTTCTACCCCTGACCCTGGAGCAATTGGCTCGTGAACGTGGCACGCTCCAGTCTAGCCATCTGCCATGTGTTGGCCCCGGATCGCCCGCCGAATCCACAAATGGAACAGCACCCGCATTTCGACGTGCAGAAGGGGAGGAGCAATGCCTGGTGGGGGTGCTGGGATTGGAGATAAATACCGCTAGTTTCGCTATGTATACATTTTCGCTGGCGGTGTTGGTGCAGGCGTTGACGTTGATTTCGTTTAGTGCTTTGGCGGATTATGGTGGGTGTTGTACTCGCTGCCAGGCTTGCAATTGCGAATGAAGTCGCGCTGACTTGCCAGAAAACAACCGAAAAACACTGCTCGTCGCGTTCGGATTGATCGGATCGGTGGCCAGCATGCTTTTCATCTTTGTCGCGCCGCCGGTGTTCGTGCTCGGGGCATTGTTAGTTGTGGTCGGCGTGACGTGTTTAGGATCATCGTTTGTTGTGCTCAATTCCTTCCTCCCGGTGCTAGTCGCCAATGACCCGTCGATTCAGGAAGAGTATAAGGGCCATGGCGAGGAGCTTCCGCACTTGAACCCGAACGGAGAGTCAGTCGATCCCCCGCCGTATGAAGAGGAAAATGATTTTGAGCAAGGGACGCCCGACCTGGGAAAGAAGGCCCAGTCGACGTCGCCGGAACTACAGCTGTCTACGCGCATCTCGTCCAAGGGTGTTGGGCTAGGGTACTGTGCAGCGGTATTTGTACAGATTCTGAGTATCCTACTGTTGGTTACGTTGTCCAAAACTTCCGTGTCCAAGGCATCTGGAACGCTTCCGACGAGATTGGTGCTCCTGCTGGTAGGCATTTGGTGGGGTTCGTTCACCATGGTCAGTCGTCGATGGCTGCGCAACCGGCCGGGACCTCCGTTGGACGTGGCGGGAGGACAGAGCCGGTGGCGCGCCTGGCTGCGTTTGATGGGCTTTGCATGGCGATCGTTGTGGAAGACGATCAAAGTGGCCGTGCGCCTGCGCGAGGTCATTGTGTTTCTGGTGGCATGGTTCCTCTTGTCAGACGCAATAGCGACGGTTTCGGGTACCGCGATTCTGTTCGCACGGACGGAACTGAAGATGAGCACCACGTCTGTGGGTTTGCTATCCATCACGGCGACGCTGTCCGGCATGGCAGGAGCGTTCCTGTGGCCGGTGATTTCGCGGCGGTTCCAACTCAAATCCAACCACACGATCATGCTGTGCATTGGACTGTTTGAAATTATCCCGCTGTACGGCATGCTAGCGTATATTCCGCTGTTTAAACGTTGGGGCGTGATTGGCCTGCAGCAACCGTGGGAGATCTTTCCCTTGGCGTTTGTGCATGGTGTGGTATCAGGAGGTCTGGCCTCGTACTGCCGGTCTTTTTTCGGGTTGCTGATCCCGCCGGGCAGCGAGGCGGCATTTTATGCTTTATACGCGGCTACGGACAAGGGCAGTTCGTTTATCGGACCCGCGATCGTGGGAATGCTTATCGATGCGACCGGGCAGGTCCGCTCGGGGTTCTTCTTCATTGCCGTGTTGATCCTGTGTCCGATCCCATTGGTTTGGATGGTGAACGCGGACAAGGGCCGACGAGAGGGCGTAGCCATGGCAGAGACATTAAACCACGAACGCGGTGGCGCTGGTGAAGATGACGAGGAAGCTGAGGGGTTATTGCGAATGCATTATAGCGATCCATGATTAGATTGACCAAGAACCCCATAAAGAGAGGTGTTCTAGCCATGCCCATTCATATCGTTAACGTTTCTGCATAACTGGTTTGGTCTCCTGAGCCAGAGTTGAATGTGCTCCACGATATATACATTGCTGCACTCTATACAGAATACAGTATACAGTACACCCCTTAAGTCCCAACAGTCCATATTTGTCTACCGTTGGGATTTAGACTTTGCTATGCGAGAACGAAGCGAAAACAAGTCAATCCGAGACTGATAGAGTAGCAAAGAGTCAAACAGCCAAGAGTCAAGAAAGTTACGATGATGTGCTCGACTGGCATTTTAGCTACAAACTTGGTCGGCGTCCCTGTTTCAGTCTGCATAAAACACCACTTCCGCTGAACCCGGTAACCCGATGCTGATTGGTGTTAAACGAGTCAGAGAGCACACTATACATAGAAATAATGCTGGAACATGTTCCTGTAGAGATCTAATGTAGGAAAATCTCCGGTACTGAAATGTATTGTATGTATGTAACATACTGTGACGCTTACACGTGGGAACGTTTCTGTATACGGTTAGCGGACCCGCCTAGTGTGGGGTTCTGCAGGAGTTAAAGTTTATGTCTAGTGGCGGTAATTTATGGTATTTGACCCTGTTGTATTTGGAAATGCACTGTAGTGCAAATAGTGAGCATAGGCTCCTTGCAATAGATCGTGCTCGATTTTGATAAAATATCAATGCAATATTGGGTACTAGTCAAATGAACAGTCGATGGCTTATTAAGATCCGCTCGGTGCAGCCTCCGCGCTGATCGGTATTTCGGGTACCTTGGCAGCTCCATCCAACTGCAGTTTGGTCTCCATAGTTAAGGCAATATTACCAATATCTATTCCTAACACATAATACATGATCGTAGGACCGCGAGTATACAGTACAGTCAAGGGTATAACAGAATGAAACAAGACACCAGGAAAAAGAGAGAAAAGGAGAAAGTGAGCGAAAGAAATGTCACCCCTTTCGCATGCGCCCTAACTCCCGACTCCCCATTACCGTATGCGCATGCGGGTTCAACTCCTCCTCACTGCTGCTAGCCGCTGGTGCAGCCGCGATTCGTCCATTCCCTAGTACTACTGTGCGCACTCCAAACGACTCAGCGTCCCTGTTACCGGGCCAAAGATGTTGCGCGTCATCGTGCTCTTGTTCCAGCTTAGACTGCTGGTACGGAGTGTTATTCCCCAGGGTGCTTGACAGCGGGTACGAGCCTGGGTTGCGGCTGTAGCTGTGGGAGTCCGTCGAGGCTTCGCGGAAGAATCGGATTAGCGGGCGTAACGTCGTCAGGGAACCGGCGGTGATGCCCAGGCCACCTTCGATGTTGGACCAGATGGCGATGTTGATGGTCTTGTAGAGGAATTGCCTGTCGGCGTAGTGTTGGATGTAGGGAATGCGAACGATGACGGCGGCACTTGCTCTGTATCCCACCCATATATTAGCTTGTCCCAAAAGAAAAGAAAACGAACGAGCGCAAAGGGGAACGAACATGCAGCCCAGACTCAAAACTCCAATCACTGCGATTTTATCCCGCCGCGACATGCGCAAGTTCCAGATCATAAATGCCGGGAGGATACCAATGGTGAAGTCGGTAATGGCCGCGCCGACACTATACAAATATGCGATATCGATGAGCACCCAAACGTCAATGCATTTGCCAGAGTCCAGATCCAGGCGGTTCCAAAAGTGGCTGACGGGCGTGCATTGGAAGATGGTGAAGAAGAAGAAGAGCACTCCAACGAGCATGTTGAGCGCCATGGCGGCATAAAGAATGACAATATGGATGCGATTGACTGTGATGCGGAGTAGCGACAGGATAATCGAGGTTTTGGCGACAATGCATGTAATTATGTAGAAGACTTGGCCCAGCCACCAGCACTGTTTTTGTTAATCCATGCACGTTAGCCCGAGTACATGAGAGAGAGAATCGGAAGCCATACAAATAACGCCTTGTGAAAGGAATCACTGTGGAAAAGGAAATATTCGAGTCGCTTGCCTATGCCGTAATACGCGCCGAAGAAGCCGCATATTGCAAACCCGGTATTCATAATCTGTTGGGAGGGAGTCAATATATCAACGATTTCATCGGCGCAGACGCTGCAGAGGTTTACCCACCATAGCAATCACCATCAAGGTGTCATCCCAGCCAAAGGCCCGGACCACACGCAATCGCACAAAACATCGCGTTAGCACCGTCGTCAACGAGATACCGAAGAAGACGGCGGTGACAATGGTCATAACCTCACTGCGGCCGCTAACCATGGTGCATACTAACAATCAGAAACAAACACCAGCGGGGTGAAGCGGGCAGGGGCGAGATTAAAAGAAAGCACGACGCAGGAGAGAAAATGCGAAACGATCAGAGTTTTGGCGGTCCTATTAGCAAAAGCTTATCCCTCTTTCCTAATTCGGGTGATTGACCTCTTACTATTGCCTCGGTGGCTAGTCTTTCCTAGCGTTTTCGCACTCTATTTTCTTGACCAGCATAGTCTGGCCAATGATTAATCGATCTATTGGTCTGTGCTGATCCAGTCCCATCGTCCCGGTATTGACTTTTACAACCGTTTCCGAGTAGAATTTGTCCTTTGTACATACTTTTTTTAATGCTGTGCATTGGTCTCCTTTCATATCTCCGTGTTATAGCTAACTTCATGCTGCCTCTTGATTTTTCGGCGCTTCCTTCTCATCCTCTCCCCCGGACCACGACGCCTCCCGCATGAACGGACTCCGCCGACGAATCTCCGGCCCCTTGAGCACCAGCACTACCGGCACCAACGATAGTGCAACCCCAATAAATCCCAACAATGTACCAGCCCATCCATATCCCAAGTTCGAAAATAATTGCGGCGACGCCAACGGTAAGAATGCTCCAAAACTATTCCGTCCCAATGATGCAGCCGACAGCGCCGACGCGGCGTATTTTTCATACGCATCGGTCAGGTAGTTGACTACGGCCATGTAGATGGAGTAGATACCCAGACCCGTGCAGGCCACGCCGCAGGTCGGCACAATCCAGTGGACGTTTGGGGCACTTGACCACCCGTACCAGAACAGGCCGCCCGCGAAGAGCAGGCTGCCGAGCACGGAGGTGTACAGTCTTGCTTCGGGGATGGGTTTGCCAGGAGCTTCCTTGTTCCGTTTTGCAGAGCGCATGTAAATCCAGTCCGCGCCAGGGTTGATGACGAGACCGATCAGGGCGCCGACGGAGATGGCAAGCTGGATGGTGCCGGTTTGAAGGGTGTTCATGTTGTAGTTGTTGGTGAAAGTTTGGACGACGCTGGAGAAGAACAGGAAGAGGATGCCCCAGGCGAACGCGATCCAGAGGGTGAAGAAGGCGACAACGGGTTCGGTTAGGAGCATGCGCGTCGGTCGCTCGAAGGACACTTGCAGTTTCTCCCACATGCGCGTGGAGTTGATTTCAACTTCTGCGTAGACAGGACGACCAGTCTCCTTTCGGATCTTCTTTGCGCGTCGCTCTAGGATCACGTCTGGACGGGTTTCGCGCAGGATCAGCCAGAAGATCGGAAGCAAGCCCGTGTTGTAGATGATCTGCACGTAGAAGATCCAACGCCACGGCGCGCCCTTGTGGATGGCCTGGATGGCGGACCCGATAAACGGGCCCATGGCAATTCCAATCACACTCGTGAAGCCGAACAGCGACATGGGCAAGCTACGCGCCTTATCGCCCAACCAGACATCACTGATACTGCCACCAACGATGTTGATGGACACGGATGATGCGCCGCCGCCAAAGAACCGCGTCACAACCAATGTCGCAAAGTTTGGCGCAAACGCAGACGGGAACAGCGAGATGATCAGGATGACATACGAGACAAAATACCCCGGCATGCGACCCGATGATTCCGTCAAGGGCACGAAGATGAGCGGCCAGAATGCCGCGCCCATGTTCCAGGACGTGGTGGCCCAGGCCAGGTTGGGGAAGGGCTCATTCTGGACGTTGAATTTCTCTGCCATATAATTGTTTCCAGCGCCGTAGGATCCGGCCGGTAAACCGGTGAGGACGGAGCTGTGAGATCATTAGCCGCCGCGGTCTCCTGTAGAGTTCTGGAGAGGGCGTACATAAAGCAGACGGTTATGGTCAAGAGCCATTTGTAGGAAAAGCTCCAGTTGAACGGGTTATCGGGGTCATTAGGACCATTCCAGCGGTGTATTTCGACATCGGCACTGTTGCGAATGGATTCTTTGCCTTGGTCAGAAAAGTAGCGTGACCATATCCTGGATGGTCAGTGCCGTCCGTCGAAGTATGTATATACCATGCTAATCTGGGGAGCTTACCGGCTGAAAAGCGAGGGCTTTTTCTGCTGCTCACCGTCCATGATGCTTAACTGCACGATAATACTACCTGAAGAGGACAGAAAAAGAAATTTCTCCCACGAAAGCCGAAAACCGTTTGAAGTATTTGCCCGAGACGTCATCCTTCGGAAATTTCTATGGAAAATCTTCGGGATACCGAAGTCGGAGAGAACACCATCGGAGAAACTTGAAGTATGATTGCCGAATATGCATACATAGTCGAGCATTACTGGTAGAGTACATACCCTGTATGTAATCGTGGAGAAGAACATGGTATCATTGACTCTAATGACCTGGAGGGTATGCACATAGGCCGGGGTCTCCAAGTCCAGTACGTCATTTAGGGCTGGTTACTCGATCCGGAAGCAATTGAGCAGTATTAACCGGCAATTGATGGATGCCGACTTGGCAGACTGTCATAGATTGCCTGTTCCTTGCTATTCTACTGTTCTGCTATTGGTCATTCCCATGTTTCTTTCAATGTCCAAGCATATTAACTGACTAAGCATGACATCATCGCCTAAAACAGGACTCGGCGCCCAGAGTGTTGACATCAGAGTCTCTTCTTCGGCAGCATATAAGGAACTAAGTTCCTGGCCAATTCTGCCCTCAGATCACAGCTCTCTACAATTATCCAATAGTACTCTCCATATTCTCTACCATCTCTACCACCTCTACTATCTATTCTCTCTCTTTATCTCCCAGCGAGTCCTTCCATTGAGCAACCATGCCTATCCCAGTCCCCGCCGCCGAAAGCCTTCACGATCTCTTCAGCCTTAAGGGCAAGACCGTTGTGGTCACTGGTGCCTCTGGTCCCCGTGGTATGGGTATTGAGGCTGCCCGTGGTTGTGCCGAGTTCGGCGCCAATGTCGCTCTCACCTACGCCTCCCGCCCCGAAGGTGGTGAGAAGAACGCCAAGGAGCTCGCCGATAAATTCGGTGTCAAGGCCAAGGCCTACAAGTGCAACATTGGCGACTGGGACAGCGTGAACAATCTCGTGCAGACTGTCATTTCCGAATTTGGACAAATCGACGCCTTCATTGCCAACGCTGGAAAGACCGCCGACAGCGGTGTTCTCGACGGCTCCGTCCAGGCCTGGGAGGAGGTCATCCAGACTGATTTGAACGGTACCTTCCACTGCGCCAAGGCTGTCGGTGCGCACTTCAAGCAGCGCGGCAAGGGCAGCTTCGTCATTACCTCCAGCATGTCCGGTCACATCGCCAACTTCCCTCAAGAACAGACTTCGTACAACGTCGCCAAGGCGGGTTGCATCCACATGGCTCGTTCGTTGGCCAACGAATGGCGCGACTTTGCTCGTGTCAACAGCATCTCGCCCGGGTATATCGACACCGGTCTCTCCGACTTCGTGCCCCAGGACATCCAGGACCTGTGGCTGTCGATGATTCCCATGGGGCGGAACGGAAACGCCAAGGAGCTCAAGGGTGCCTACGTGTATCTGGTCAGTGATGCCAGTACCTACATGACCGGAAACGACTTGAAGCTTGACGGAGGATACACTGTGCGGTAATCTTTTGGTTTCTTGTTTGCATTGTGTCAACACTTCTCCTGTATAAATAGCTAGTCTCGGATGTCATGAATCACGAAATCTTCTTTGTCACCGGTGCCTTTTCAACGTAGACCCCAGACCAGTACCAGTCTTCTCTCCCCCCGGACTTTTCTGTCTTCAACTCTCCCACATGCCAGTCCTGCGAGTTGCTCGATGCCGACGCCGACACGTTATCCACGACCTTCTTCAACGGCTGCGCTCCATTCGACGCCCACAATCCCACCGTCTGCTTGTCAAAGTCGATATCGTACGCAAAGTTGTGCCATGTTCCGGGCTGCAGCTTCGTCGACCAGTGCGACTTGCCGTCTGCCATCCACTGCAGGGTGTTGCCGGTGTACTTGAGTTCGGTAAAGTGGCTCTATCCTCACGCATCAGTACGAGCCAATAGTTTGACGAAAAAGAACAAAATTACCTCGAAAAATGCGATCTGATGCTCGACGTCCCCCTGCGGAGCGTTCTTCTTCCTTGCCTGCAGCGAAAAGTGGTAGATCAACCGTCCACTACCGAGATCCTCTGTCGTCTGCGGAATCAGTTCGGATCGAAGCATCGGTTGGCCATTCCACGACGAGGATTGATCCTGCTCACATCATTAGTTCAATTCCATACGCGCGCCAATACTAACGTACGATGCTAATTTTCATTCCCTTCCCATCATCCGAGGCGGGATTCTTGAAGTCTGTCGATAGTCCCAGATACCGACTCGTTTTGCCGTCGCCGTGGATGTACCATTGATACGGTTCGATTTGGTTGGACCAGGACCCTATACGTGGACATCAGCTATGCTCATGTTCGTTGAATGGATTGAGTCGTACACTGGTCGAAGTGGTCGAGGGTGGTGGATGCGTCGATGCGGCCGTCCCAGACGACTTCGCCGCATTGCGCGAGGATGGGGAGGGTAAGGAGAAAGAGCTTCATTTCGTTTCTTGGTCTTGGTTGACTAGCAGATGATAGGAGGCGAGTATTTATGCGGCGGCGTTTGAGATGTCTACATTCTATATGAAACTCGGCAAATTAAAATCATTTCTTTGATACGCAGCATCACTCCCTAACCCCATATAGATTGTTATATGATTTACGATCATTTATCCATTACTGGGACAATCACTTGAATTCATAGCTGTTACATTTTCTGGAAGCGATGGCTGGTTGCTTGTCCTAGACAACCACGTACCTCCCACACTATAAAGCGGATTTATTTCATTTGAATCACATAGATCGTTATTCATTAAATACACTCATTGTACTCATGTCTATACCCTGGGTCATGTTATTTACTCCGCATTCCAAAGTCCCCGGAACACGTTGCTGGGGTCAACATCCGCCTTCAACTCCCGCAACTTGTCCAATCCATCGCCAAAGCTCTCGTTAACCTTGTCTCCAGGCGCAGCAAAGCTAGCGTAGCTCGCCTCCATTGCCTGACCAGTGATTTGAATCTGGTCAGCAAGGCCATTGACCCATCTGGAGGCGACCGCCATGCGCGCAGGTTCGTCGTACGCGTTGACGAAAAGCTGGACGTGCGGCTCACGCAGGCCGAACGAGGCGGAGGGGCTGGTCTGTGCAGAGCGGCCGTAGTTCAGGAGGCCGGTGATGGTGTAGGAGGCACCTGCTTCGCTCAGGGAGTGCTGGAGGATGTCGATGACTTCTGGCGTCATCCGGGTGATGGAGACGCCGCGAGTAGTCGTGTGAGCGGACAGCGGAATGTCCTTGGTTGCCAGGCCCTGGAGAGCGTTGAAGGTGGCTTTTTACGTCAGTATGATTGGATCATCAAAGAATTGATAGAAGGAGGTACTCACTCTGCTCGACAGTGTCCAGCTGGACCTTTGCAAGACCACGCACCATATCCATCCACTTCTGGCCTTCGTTAACATCTCCCACCCAGCCGGCAATCACATTAACCGCCTTCTGAGACAGTTCGAGCTGAAGGCAGAGCTCCTCGGGAACGCCTGCTTCGAGCAGACGCTGCAAGCCCAGCAACGCCTTGGCGGATTCGCCCTGTTTGTACTGGACCTGACCACCCAACATCGTGGGAACGGCGTACGTCTGCACAGTCGACTCGACGACAACTCCGAGACTTCCACCAGCTCCGCGAATACCCCAGAGAAGATCATCGTTGGCGCCAGCGTCGACAACGTTTCCATCCGCCGTCACCACCCTGGCAGACACAATGTTATCCGCACCAAAACCGGCGTAGCTGTTCAGCGGGCCATAGCCGCCAGAAAGCGCCCAGCCCGTCCAGCCAATACAGCCGGCTGTGCTACTTGCTGTAACGAGGTCGTGGGTGTCCAGAAATCCGATCAAGTTACGGGTGAGCGTGCCACCGCCGACATGGACGGTCTTCAGGTCGTGGGAGAGCGTCAACGAGTCCATCTCCCGCATGTCCAGCATGACGCTGTCAGCGACGCAAGACTGGCCGAAGAAAGCGTGGCCAATTGCACGCACGGCCAGCGGCACGCCCAGCTGCGTGCTGGTGCGGACAATCGCCTGCACCTGGGCGACGGTCGTCGGGCGACAAATAGCTTGGGGCCGGGCGGTGATTTGCTTATTATAGACGCTGCGGAGCGCCTCGTAGTTAGGCGAGGAGGGGGTGTAGACCTTCAGAGTCTGGTCGAGATGGCGCAGACGTTGAACGATTTCGCTTCCGGCTGCGCAGTCGACAGTCGGATCGAATGGGGCTTTAAAGTTACGGAAGCCAGTTCCAGCGCTCAAGCACTGGTCGACGGGCTTGTTCAGGCTCTGAGTCACAACGGGGGAGAGAATAGACGCCATGATGGTGAGTGTTTGTATGGTATGAGATCTAGCTGATACGTCTTTGATATCGAGGGCTCGATGCTGCCATTTATAACTCCCAGAGAGAACCGGAAAGTGTCGCTTGTAGTCTTGTGTACGACGATGTACGAAATGATCATCGAGAGTGCGGGGACTAATACATCACAATCAGGGCTCAGCTGAAATGCAAGTCGTTGCTATTATAGTTGGAGATAGTGGTGCCATTATTGACCGCCATTCGCTTGATTCAGCTATCGGCTGTGCCGCATGCTGTCATTCTGAATTATACATTAATTTCAGCCAGCCACCATCTGCGATAACATATGGAGTACTCTGTACAAAGAGAATCAAGAGCTGAAAGCAAGTCTGGACACAACACGTGGATACTGGCCAGAAACAATTCATATCCACCAAACACGCAATGATATATTAGTCCGCTTACATCATATTTCCGAACTATCAACGAGCACATAGCCATCGGGATCTTCGTCCACCTCCGCTCTACGTACACAGGCCAAGCCGCTTCGAACTGGAAAAACCTTCGGAGCAGGACAGTAATCCCCATAGAAGGAGGGCGGTGACGCCTCAATCTATCCCACATTTACCCTAGACTGAAAACCAGGCAATGGCTCGACCCTCATAGTGAAACATGCCAATTTGCTCGCCCTTGGCCACATGCTGATCGGGCTGCACGATGATCTCACAGCTAGAGATCTCCATCGTCCCCACCGCGATAAAACACATCAGTCCTATGCCGGAACTGTCCGCTTCGATGAATATTAGGCAACACGTCGCCACCGCAGTGGGATATCATAACGAAAAGTTCTGGTCTGTCGGATCCAGGTCTGGGAAGCCCTGCGACGGGGGTTGTACGAAGAAGGCGCCGGGGACGTGGACTGCTTTGATGATCCGACCCGCCACAGGTGCATGCCAGCGGTGATAAGCTTCAGCTTCGATCCACGATTGATGCACGGTGCCTTGGAGAAAGCGGGGTGCCAACGCATCATAGTCGAGCATTCCAGGAAGCGAATACAGCTGGTTTTTGAGCTAGAATGGATGACGTGCTTGTACCGCCGTCGGTCGCCAGTACGTAACTGGTTTGCAAGGGCTGACGATTACAGATGTTGGATCAACAGCACCCACCGATGGAAACAAAACAGGGCCTCCGTCGTCTGGCGCCGCGGCAGGACGGATCCTACCGCGGAATTTACGCACGGAAAACGCACCCCAGATCGGAGTCCAAAGTGGCTGGCTGGAATCACAAACATATAGCCATTCAAAGGTTTCCACATTAAGCGTGTCTGGACCATCGGTGAGCCTTGGGGTATGCCTGTATCTGTGGTAAACCGGCCCATTTCGCCTTCCATTAGTAAGATATCTGTGATGCGGTGGTGCAGGAAGCTTGCTACCTAGTTAACAGCGTAGACTGGGACCTGCAATTACCAGAGGTTGTGGATTAAACGCTTATATGCTGTGTTTTCGAATGCACCACTGGCATTATGGGTAAGCAGTGTGACTACTGACGTGCCAGTACGCCAGGGTGGATGGACTTGTTCCAGCAGAAGGTGAATAGCGTGCCCACATAATCGCCCTCTGCGGCCACCAGCATGAGTCTGGGGTAGGAGACTGTATCTCCAACCATATAGCTTAGGCGAGTCGCAATAACTGCTTCTAATACCTTTTCAATTGTGTCAAGCAGTGCTATTGGTCTGTATGCCTTTGGTTCTGTATAGTCGGGTTTGCCAGGTTCCGCAATACCACCGTGGTTGACTTTCGGAAGTGCTCTGGGCAGTATCCCAACTGCAGGCAAACGTTGAACAAATTAGTAAGATGGCTCAGGAAGGCTGACATGGCTAGGGCGCGATGTAACGTTAGATTTGGTATATAATCAGGGTCAAGAGCCTTGTTTGGCGCAGCACACCGGACTGCCTGGCAGACCTCTTTCTCTGTAATGGCAGACATCCAAAAGATGAAAATGTAAGACACATTCCTCCCACACACCAAAAAAAAAACTCTAGTTTTCAATCTAATGGAAATCTAATGGAAATATAACAGTATCACGGGCTCGGAAATAGTAGATACTAACGAAATGATATTCCTATTCAAACTATTGTAGCCATCGATGAGAATATCGAGTCCGGAGAAAGAAGAGAAAAGGAAACCTATCTAGAGGATGAAGGGGTTTTTATGACCACTGTACGGCAGGGTTCTGCTCATGTCGGTGTCGTCTGTCATTATTAGTGTTATATGTAGCGTCGAGCCCTATGTACGACGTCAAGCCGGGCCATCTCTGGGCTTCGACAAATCCGCATCCGCAAATTTGCGGATATCTGTGACAGTCTCGAATAATATAAATTGATTGGTAGACTCTCTATCGGGATACTAACATGGCGAAGGGAAAAAAGAAGCTGGGCTTACCGGCGCTGCGCTATCTAGTGTGCGAAGGGGTTCCTGCCCTATATTCAAGCAGGCTAATGTATACAACATCTTGAGTTGTTGTTGAATGCCCGTACTCCGTGACACAGGCCCCATTCCATCATCCTACTCTGCTGTCATATTTCAGAAGCGAACCTTATCTTCAGTTGTGGTAGGGAACACCGTAAATAATCGGCCAGGAGTACCATTCGCAAATGCAAGCTACGGGAAAACTATCACAGATTCGTTGATAGAGGTTAGTAAGAGTACTGGGTCGACTATTCTTGTCACCTGAATCAGACACCATGCATGCAAGCAGCAGTGCCACGCTGATATGCAATCATGATAGGCAATGCCTTGATCAGAGAACTGGTGACCAACAATTTATAGAAAGCAGTAGCAATTGTCAACCTTGCTTGGCCCCAGAAAGATATCATGCTCATGGGTGTATTACGCTATGCCCAAGGTAGGCTTCCGGGGATTGGCCCTCGAGGCTGAAATCGCCAGGGTTGGGGTCGCATTTGTGGTCGTCTGAAATTGGGGGGCCATTGCAGGGCAAGTATTTCGTCTTACAGAACTATGTGGCTATAGTAAGGGGAAGGAATTATAAGTATTGTGTGTATTTCATCTCGAATAGCATTGGTATAAGTCAAGTATTAACTTTTTTGTTCTATTTATGAAGGTGTTTTATTGATATTTAGTATGAACTTTATAAATTGGGCGCTATCAGTCACTACGATGGTTCACTGACTCCTCCTGTTCCTCTTCCTCATTGTCGACCTGGTATTCGCAGTCGACAAACCGCAGAACGAAGATGGCAGATATCGTATCCGCCGGCCAGATAAAGAGGCGAATAATATTCGATATTCGTATTCACCATAGAAGAGATGGCGAATATCGTATTCGCCGCGGATATTCGATAGAATAATATCTGCCGAGGCGGATATCATCAACACCCCTAGTAGGCAACTTGCATTAGCTTCTATAGCTTCCTAGATACACTATTTTCTAGATTGTTGCATGATCTTCAACTTATCCCACACACGGGTGAAACTCGGGCATAGTAAAAAAATGTACCCTCTTTTTCTATCTTTGACGTAATACTGCCACTGTTCTATCATAATCTTCATAGCTCGTTACCCATGATCAGCCTCTTTTCTCAGTAAGGAACGACAGCAAAGACTCTTTATCCGCAATTAGGTTCCTCTCCGCCGCTTGAAACAATTTGGCAGTAATCAGCATGTCTGGTTTGTACTCCAGAATCTCTTTAATGGCTTTATTACGACATCTCTCCAGAATAATTTCTGTCGTTTCTTCGGTTATGGGTAAGATCCGGTCATCCTCCGCAATTTCCATAACCACGTCGTCAAGGCCATAGTTGTTTTTCTGCTCCGGATCATACGGATAGCTTTGCAGTTTGGAAGTTGTCACTTCCAAATCGGTATTATGGAAAATAGCCCTCGTCGCGCGGTATTTTCTCTCTGCACTTATGACAATATCCTGCCAAATTTCGTGCCAAATCGCTAGCGGATCCAAATCAGGTTGTAATGAAAGGAAGGCACCAAGTGAATCTGGCTGTTCATGGTATGCAGCCTCTTTGAAAACCTCCTTGGTGATTGGAACTGATTGTGTGTTTTGGAGAATAGCAGCTACAGTATAATCCGACTTGGCTGCAACGATCATAACCTCCTCTGTGATAACCACGTCATCCAGTCGATTTTGCAGCAGTGTGTCTATTGATTCATCGTTGCTTGCTGCTTGTAGAAGGACATTGTGAGTGACCGGTGCGTCTGGCTGCGATGTAATAATAATCTCGAAGGCCGAACCATTCGCAGCTAGCGTTTCCATCGCCCACTCATCTACAATCAAGTGATTGTGATCAAGAAGAAGTTGCGCCACCTGTGCTTCCTCATAGCTACCTCTTGCTATTTTTCGAATGATTTCTTGAATCGGTAGATGATCGCAAGGTTGATCCAGAAGCACCTGCATCACCTTGGATTTCGTGCACGCCGCTTCAAGAACCCGACTCGAGATCTGGGCTTCTGGGAACTGCTTGACAATGCTCGCACACATCTTTGCAGCATGATTGTCTTCATCATGGCTTACTGCTGCTAGCAGACTGTTTTCCAGAGTGGGCAAGGGTCGTCCCGGGAGCTGGAAAAGATATCCCACGGCAGCAAGCGAGTTTCCTGCTGCCGCGCAGACAATATCCTTGGTGATTGCAACATCCGAGCCTCCATTCTCCATCAGTATTTCTAGGATTTCAACCGCATAACGTTCATTTGAGGCAGCTGCCTTGATCACGTTCTCAGAGACAATGAAGCCCAGCTGCTGTCTGCCCAAGGCTGTCTTGATCATGGACAGTCCATCTTCAGGATTTGAAGCGATTTGCTGCATGTCATTTTCGGTCAATGGACTTTCTCGGCTGGGGAGGTCAGCGCTCCAACTAGTGTTGTGTCGTTGGAGAGGCTGGCTGGTCATGTCTGCTTTGGTGCTTGGTGTTTTTGGTGTCAACGATCGAATTGAAGTTGATCGAAAACAGCCAAAGCCGAGAACCATGTGGCTATTGGGGTTTAAAAAAGTACATCAAGAGCTGACCTGAGCTGAGAATGTGGCTGAAGTTCAGCTGCGGGCAGCCATTCTCCACAGCTGGAAAATTACATCATACTACTTATTTACAGCCTATCACCTAGTCCATGTGGCTGAAAAGGCTGAAATAGGCCTCGCCAAACCCGTGGGCGGCCCACGGGCGCTCGTCAAAAGCCAGTCCATGGGCGGGTTTTGGGCTGTTCCCCCTATCTGCGGGCGGGCTATGGGCTGTCTGCCTGCCTGTGGGCTTTTGGCGGGCGCCCGTGGCTGTCAAACATAGCTATGGCAGAGAATACTTATGAGTATATATAATGATAGTCGACAGGCTTAGCCTGTCGAATAAATGATATGTTAGTCGGAGGGATGATCAGAGGGGTTATCAGACTATCTACCCCGCACGATGCACATTTATACACGGAGCTGTCTGACCGCACACCTGTCACGGCGCTCTACTAGGATAATGGAACATCCAACTCATGGGTTCTACCTAGGTAGTGTAACGGCTCAGCCCAGCGCCTCCATCAGCAAACATCATCAACACGGCAAACAATACCATAAAAATAATCAAGACAAACAAGTTGCTTAGCGAGACTACACAACCATATGGGACTTCTTCACGTAAATAGACTCGCCTCTTATCTTCTTTTCTTCTGCAGGTTCGATATTCTTGTCGATGGCTACTAGTTGGTTTAGATAGGAATATCAATTCGTTAATATCTTCTAGCTATTGAGCCCGTGGCAGAGTCCCTGTTATAAACATTAGTAAAATGTAACCCAAGACAGATAAAATACATACCACTCTCTGAATATTGTGTAAGCTCATCAGTCTAGCCAGGTTCCTTTTTATGGGACTCTGCTGGTGGTTGAGCCTTTGATTGTCACGGGCTCGGAAATAATATATACTGACGAAATGATATCCCTGTCAGAGTACAGGCATTAACCAACAACACAAGATGTCGCAAAATACATGGTGTAGACAGAGCTGTTGGGGGAGTTTCAAGCAGTTCAATATGACTGCCTACAGCTGATTACTGTGACAGCCTGGTCACGTTGGCTGGTTATCACATGAGATGTGGTTGTTTGCTTTGTTGCTTTGTCTATAAATATGGCGTTACCCCCTTTCTTCCTTCCTCATGTCAATTATCCTCGTCAATAGCTACCTAGGTAGAACACATGAGTTGATGTTCCATAACCTGGCTGAGCTCCGTGACATACCCTAACACTCACCTTTGACTCTAAAGACATCACCTCAATCACCTGTACCCAACTATTGCCCACCCAGCCATCACCCTTAGAGCAGCAATGAGAAACGGCAAAAATAAGAAAAAAAGAACAATGCAAAAACATACAACAGCCGGGATTCGCTGGTGGTCACCCACCCAACTACTAACCGGCCGGCGTGTGGCTTAAGTACGGCTGAGCGGACGGGAAGCCCTGTTCTCCACACCCTATGGTCGTATGTATTAGATTTAATAGAGCAAAAATATATGAGGCAAATGTGAGTGCACAATACAGAGGGTGAGCCATCACCCAACATCACCCAGCGCCGCGTAATTTCAATCCTTTGAAACACATGCCACAATGACTGATAATTGGCTATCCTTTTCCAACTTCAAAACACCAACTTATCTTGGCATCTGCACATAGCCAGAAATAAACCTTCCTTCAACGAGTGATTCAGCATAAGAACAAGGAACTTTTTTTTTGTCTATTCTGCCATGCTGCCAGCCCGCCTCTTGGTGTAGTTAGTGCATGATGCATGATTGATTGGTCAGGTGGTCTATCGGCTAAGCTAACTACGGTTTATGACTACCAGGCAGAAAGCGAGGGCGGTGAGAAACATGGCCCGCTGGGTACCAACACCGCCAAAGCGGGTAACTCAGGATCGGGAATCGGAGAAGTCGATTATCTGTGACTTAACGAGGTCGTATGTAGAGATACCGAGTTTAAAAAGAGAGGTGATATATTCTCGTCTAAATGCGTGTCCACAAGTGCTTGAGTCTTGTCTATCTACATATGCGCGGACAATATTGTATTTTTATTGCCAAAAACGATAGGCAGCTCACAAAATCTCGCGCCAGCGGCTCTCTACTCGATGAATGTCAGATGCATGCCGTTGAAATTCCATCTTATGCAAGAGAAAAACTTCGCAATAATTGCACTTGAGAGAGCCTTCATGCAGGTGACAAGCGTCAAAGTGCCGTGTCACGCAGCCAGCGTCATAGAACATCCTACAACGGGTTTTATCGGGTAGTTTCTCATTGGCAAAGCACTGGAAACATGCCCGTGGCTTCGAAGCATCTGTGAGATGCTTCTGTGTTGTACTGAAGAGCTCATCGCGTGGACAGAGAGGGATCTCCGTGTTTTTGTCAGGGCAATCTCTAACGTTGGACGAGCTGTTGAGGTCAGATTCGGGGTCTGTTGATGGGATGGATGTCGTCCTAATCTGCTTTGGCCGTCCACGAAGTGGGCCACCTTCTAGGACGTCACAATACTGCACAACAGCATCCACCGCGTCATCATGCCGTTTCCATTCATCCTCTACCGAATTCGAAGTCGGGTACGAGAGGAGTCGCTGAAGAAGGAGTAACTGAAGAGGATGCATACCATCCTGTAAAGATGATTGTTCGTCCTTGCTTTCATCCTTTACTGCGGTATTGGACAACTGTGCCTCAATATCCAAAAACGCTTGCTCTTCATCAAAATTCTCTCAGACTTGATGCCGTAAGGCCCTCAACAGCCGTTGTCGCGTGTTCTTCAATTCTTTCTGTCGTTGGCGGATACAATTCAGTAAGCTTGCTTGCTGGGACTCCTTGTAACAGGCGCGAGCGTTGTGTAGATTGCGGCGGGCCCTTTCCAGGTCTGGATGATCCTCTATCTGGTCCCTCTGCTGCTTGGTCAGATACCGTGGCCGCCGTATGTCTCTCCAATGACTCTGCCGGGTAACAGCCCGCATCAGTTCCACATCCGGGTCAAGGCCACAGATAACCCGGATCATATCTGTGTCAAGTTGCAATGGGTGATAATGATTAAGAAAGGTCCGAGGGCTGGCATGCTTCATGATTAACATGTGTTGTTCCTTGCTGACCCACCCTGCGAAGCCGTGTCAGTCACTGCGCAGATAGGAAGATCCAATGGATTCTTGGCACAAGATCGCCACTTACCACTCTCATTGATCACCTTACCGCTTCCATATCGGAACTGATGCGCATGAAACGCCCCTTTCCAGCCGCGGATCTCCCCAAAAGTGACCAGCGTGTTCGACATCGTTGTCTTTGACATCTGCTGGGTCCAGTGAAAAGTCGGAACCCCTTTGACTAATTCAGTTTTGCAGAATAGATACCAATTAGCTTTGTCCCGGTCTAAAGGTACAAGGAGCTGCTCGCAGCCTTTGCTAATGAAGAGTTTGCGCAGCTGGGTCTTTGAGGTCAAGTTTGGGTTCCGGAACGCTCGAGCATGGAAGAGAATCCCAAACAGTAACGTATGCGGGCAGAACACTAATGATGGCCCGTAGATCACTTCCGGGAGTGCAAATGTTGTCCTATCTATTGGTTAGCTGGCATGCTCGAGGTCATATAACAAATTCTTAGAATGTCTGCAGAGCGTCCGCGTGATAGGACCCAGTGCAGGCAAGAAGGGTAGAGGAAATTGGCCAAATTACAATTTAGTTTGCCTGAGAAACTTTTTTGTCCCCTCTACGGTGAGTTCAATCAGAGGAATCGGAGGTCCACCGCGAGGATCCTTCTGGAGGGAAATTTGAAGATCCTTGAACTGAAGACTCAGTAGCGCGTTTCTCCGATGAACGGTGAACAGACCCAGGGAATTGAACAGGCACACTTGGATACGCTGGAACCCAAGATAGAACTTCTTTTCTTGCGTAGACAGGATGGTTTCATTAAATGGACCAATATCCTCGATATAAACCGGCGTCTTCTTTCCAGGTTGGGTGTCTAGCCCGTTCTCTTGGACTAGATATTTGATGCCCTGCTATTATTTAGACCAGAAAGCCCGGCATATACGGCTGTCGTTACTTACCCTCCGCACTTTGAGCCATCATCATCATAAATTTTGGTATTGGTTAACTTCTGGTAATATCCTCGAAGGTTCCTCCCAATCCGTCTCTAATGAGCTGGACTTGTTGATGCCTTTCAATTGTCGACCCTTTTTTCCTCGCTGGAGTTGAAGACACCAGCCTAAGAAACGGTACATGTCGTTGTTTGATGCCTGGCGCAGAGCCTCCTCAGGTTCCCGCCATTTTGGAATCTCAGGCTCCAAACGTGTTCTGCTGTCACAGTACCTATAACTCCATCAGCAGAGACCGACTAAGGTGCAGCACCACTAGAATAACAGACCGTTTCCAGCGGGTTTCAATCCGCTCTCGCCGCAAGATTGTTCCTTCTGCCTTATCAAAATCTTCGGGGATCTCGAACAGGTCGATCCCAGTATCATCAAGCGGGTCGTCGTAGAATTCTCCCGCGTCATCAGGTTCTCTTGATTCTAAAGCCGGGTGGCTTTCATCCGCCAGAAAACGTTTTTGTGGGCTCGGGGTATCGTCCGACTCGGTCAAATCCGTCTCATAAGTAGCGTCACGCTGTTCATCTGAGTCAGTGCCGCTATTTGTGACGTTATCCACGCCACAGCTACTTCCCAGATGTCCATTCAGTTGGGGCCGTGGGCGTTTCATCGCTTGGATTCAACGGAATTGGATAACGAAGACTGGTTTTGTATGGAGAGGGAGGGTAGAAAGTGAGACGAAGACACGGCAAAGCTAGAGAGCAAATATAAAGCAGTGAGCGAGCTTTTTCTTGTTCATGTAGTAAGTGAAACTGGTATATGGAAAAAGAAGCTCGTAAATACAGGAACCCAGAATGATAATATAAATGGGAGATAGGAAGATGGCAGGATGACTGTATACTATATGTAATTACCATAAACTTCAATATTACTCCTCTCGGTGCACATTAGGCCTCTATCTTCCGTATGTTATATAGCCAGATTTTCGGCTCCCGATTCCCCGAGCCTGAGCTACCCGTTTCAAGTCCGATGAACGGAAAGTAGTCGGACCGATAGGCGAACTTGAGAATTGTCTGATATAGGCTTAATGTGCTTATGCATAAGATGGAATTTCAACGGCATGCATCTGACATTCATCGAGTAGAGAGCCGCTGGCGCGAGATTTTGTGAGCTGCCTATCGTTTTTGGCAATAACAATACAACATTTTCTGAAGCCTTTCTGTCTACCATTGAGGTGTTTTCTACGCGGTTTTTGCTTAAAGGCTCGTTTCTCAATGTATCAAGTAGTATCAAGCGCCTTTTGGGATCACAATTTGCTTTGTGTCAAATGAGCCGACTGATAAGTGTCCCCTATTGTGTATGTCGCTACCTGATGTCATCCGTTCTATCCTACTTTCCTATTCAAGCATCATATCACAAACCAGTCCACTCATCAATGACCCAGGTTCGAGGGCTGGAAATAGTCATTCTTCCTAAAGCCTAGGCCAGCGTCTTAGCGAGGGATTGTCAATGGACTATATGCATAATTGTGGCCTGAGTTGTCTTCCCCAGATTAAAATTTACTGTACATAAATGACCACAATCGTGAACTGTACAGCTGAATTACCAATTGCCCGGTACAAATATATTCACCATCCCTGATTACTGTCTTCCTCAGCCTGAACCTGCGCTTCATCATGGGCTTGTAACTGAACAGACAGCGGCCCTGGAGGAACCTGCGTCCTCTCACTGTCTTTCGCGTGAGCAAATGTAATTTCTTCAAGTATATGTGCTGCTGAACGGTCTGCATCAGCTTCAAAGACATTGCCTTTGACGTTATTGGCAGGGGAGGGAGTAAATAGATCGGGAAATTCCATTTCAGCCCTAGTATCTGATTGGAACACTTGCTTTTTCAAGAGGGCTTGAACAATATTTGTGACCCTGTTGATCTCAAAATTGGAAATTGATGTATTAAGTGCAGCTTGGTGCTTTGTGATGTGTTTTTTTATGGTCTTTGATTTTCGAGGCAAGGCATTGGGACCTATGAAGATTGCCTGGCATGTGAGAAAGATCTGACGCTTTTCAGCTGCAGAACATGCCATGATCGAAAGGTGAACAGAAGTAGGATATTTTTTAGAGAGTAAAGTAATATGAAGGAAATTTAGTACAGCGGATGATAACTAGGATATTAAAATAGGGTGTTGTAATTGTCACCGCTTCCTGGCGATGATGGGCGCGTTTGATCTCTTCGTCTCTCTTTTTTGTTCTAACCCTCCCATTCTCGTTCCTTAGGCCAATCAGAGGACGAAAGGAGGGTAATTTGCAATGTCTCAGGGAAATGTCGAGAAGTAAAATCTTTGTAAGGCTTTTTCTACTTGCACACCCAAGTCGGTAGTTTGCTGATTACTCCTAATAGTCCGGCTACCTGAGGCTACTTGGATAAATATTGAGCATTGAATTCATTGAGTTATCTTTTTCTCTGGATATTACAGGAAATAATTTAAATCATCTCCTCAGGAAAGATCCACAGTATTGAAAAGATGATTGCCTGTATCAGTGGTGCCTTTGCCCGTGAACTTATTATCAGAAAGACAAAGTGCAACAATTGTGAGTTTGCATCATGGGCAAACATTCGATGGAACTGCGGCTGCAAACAGATTGCGACTGGACGACACCGGCCACTATCACAATGTGAATAGTGGCATGGAGGTTGTGGATGTGTTCCACAAATTGCAGGATTGATTTGCCACTGTTTGTCACTAAATCCACCAGAATTATACTGCGTCGGTCCTTCAAGAGCTCACTAGTGATGTCCTCATTGTGGTCAGCGTGGAGGAACATGGCACGTGGAAAGGCATTGTTAACACCAAAAGCCATAGGTTTCCCACCTTGCATCAGTGCCGCAATCAATGTCGGTGACTGGTGCAAAAGCTGATATCCGCCCACATTGTGGCCTTGGACATGTGGTATCAAGAACTTCTCGAAGCCAATCACGTCGGTCAAAAACTCATTTGCCAGAGACCATCCAGCACGGCGATGTGCCTTCTTAGCATTGGACCTGCAACCGTGGCATCACGCATTGGTGTAATAAGCAACTTGGTCGCCCCGGTCGGTAGCATGAATAAGATGAAGATGCGCAAGAACAGAGTTGACAAACTCATGGTCTGTAAGTTTGATCCGAGGAAGATTTACTATTATTGGACGGCTTTCGCGAGTTCCACCAGTCTTTAGATAGCAGCTTTCCCTGTCTGGTTGATCAACTCCCTGGACGATTACCGGATGATTCAATAGTACAGAATCAATATCAAAATTTTCGACTGCTGACAGGCAGCTGTATAGTTCCTGCATAGCCATGGACTAAGATTGGCCGGGACGGGTATGAATAAATCTGAATCGAAAGTTACCAACACTATCACCGATCACTTGCTCAAGAGAAGATTTGTTTGTGGCTATGTGCAGATGCCAAGACGTCTCAGTGTTTTGGACTCAGTCTCAATGCTCAGGCCGAAGCACCTTCTTACTGCCTTGCAGGGCCCGTTGATGCATTGCCTCAGCCTCCTCATACTTGCCCTGGCTCTGAAGGACACTGCCAATGTTGTTGATGCTCATCAGTGTATCTGGATGTTTAGGCCCAAGCACCTTCTCTCTGCCTTGCAGGGCCCGTCGATGCATTGCCTCAGCCTCCTCATACTTGCCCTGGCTGTGAAGGACATTGCCAAAATTGTTGATGCTGTCCAGTGTATTTGGATGTTCAGGCCCAGGCACCTTCTCTCTGACTTGCAGGGCCCGTCGATGCATTGCCTCAGCCCTGGGACGCCTCCTTGCCGCCAGGAGCGGCCATGGTGACTTTGCAGAATACCATGAGCGCTTCAATCATGAGGATGCCCTGCCGACATGTTCATGCGGCTGCAGAAAGGAGCCATCACACTTCTACCACTTCAGAGAGGGCCGCAAAGCAGCAGCACATCCATGGGGCTGCCAGACAGTGACAGACATCCTCAGCACAAAGGCTGGATTCACTGCTTATGCAGGTTGGCTGGGAAAATCCAACTTCTACACATATATCTGCACACGCCATTAGGCCATGAAAACTCATCAAACTCAGGGACATCCAGGCTCACTGCTGGTCTCCCTCCGGACCCTCCCTCTCTCTTTCCTTTATTCTCCCACTTATGCACCCCCTCCCCCCTTCTTTCTGATTCGCAATTGTGCTTTTCTTTTCAACAATATGCTCATTTGCTGGTTGACAGCCACGAAAACCCAAGCAGCCCCCCGTGCGGGGGGCTACCTGTATTTAGATGATAGATGGTAGTTTAGCTAGCTGACAGGCAGTTCCGATCTGTCCGTCGTATGTCCCACACCGGGACCAGAGCCTCACCGCCCCCGTGGAAGGACTCGCCCCGACGTAAAATAGACACACACACACACGCTCTCTTTTATTGGCTGCAGGGTGGAGCTGTCCCTGGCTTGGTAAAGGGTCTGATATTCGTCCGAATATTCGTACAGGTTTGCAAATTACGAATGTAAATGTGTCGTGCCGACCCCAAGACAATAGCTAAAACATATACCAAAGTTTCTACTAAGTCAACATGCCGAAACCGATGGATCTCATCCTCGGCCGATCATCCTCGGCCGACGTCGTGCGACGCCTTCCATACGCAACATTTCCCGCGTTACTTCTTATATAGATGGGTTTGTCCATACAGTTGGGACCTGACATGCTTCTCATTAACCCAGAAATTCTAAAACTTTTCTCTTTTTTTTTTTTTTTTTTTTAGTTGAAAGCAAATACCGCTTTAATAACCCTTGTCTAGTCGAGTTTCCTGCTAGATACCATCACTAAACTACCAGGGAACGGTAGCTGATCATGTCGGAAACAGAAAAGGGTATTCAAAATTCACGTTCATCTGCAACTGATGATGGAACTCCCACAAAGGATGCAGTTGCAAAGGAAAACCAAGAGGTCGAACAGCAGCCGCACGAGGAACAGCCAAATGGAAGCAACCCAGTACCAATACGAACCGGCTTTTTGTCATTCCTGGTTATAATCCCCCCAATTGCAAACTCTACGCATTACAGCCGCCGCACCAAATGGATGTTGACTATTATTGTTGCGTTGGCCGCATTGGCTGCACCACTGGGCAGCAACATTCTGTTGCGTAAGTGGTGGACCAACTTTTTTTTTCTTCCCCTCCATACCAGATACCAGGTGTCTAACGCGAGAAAACAGCGGTTCTTGTTCCCATTTCGGAGTACTTCCACACATCGCCTACAGTGGTCAACTTGTCCGTGGCACTATATGCGCTTGCTGTTGGTATCACCCCACTGTGGTGGTCGCATATGGCTGAGAACCATGGCCGACGCGTGGTCTACCTGCTGACGTTTCTCCTGCTTTGTGTCTTTAATGTTCTGTGTGCTGTGAGTACCAGCATGGGTATGTTTATCGGAATGCGACTCCTGGCGGGAGGGGCATGCGCATCGGTTCAGGCTGTTGGCGCCGGGACCATAGCGGATTTGTGGGAGCCTCAGGAAAGAGGGAAAGCCGTGGGGATTTTCTCACTGGGCCCCATGCTGGGACCACTTGCGGCCCCAATTATCGGCGGTGCTCTCACGATCCAATGGAACTGGCGTAGCACACAATGGTTCCTTGTCATTTACGGCTTCGTGATTTGGGTGGCTATGATCTTCCTGTTGCCTGAAACGTCATCAAAGCTGAAAATGAGCAGACAGGAGAAGGACGAGGACTCGAGCTCGCACAACTTATCCGTTTTCGCGAAAGCAGCGCGCAAGGCAAAGCAGGTTGCCTGGCTCGCTGTTAGCCCGGTGGTGTCGGTGAAGCTCCTCGTTTTCATGCCCATTCTGATCACGGTGTATTACACCAGTATCACTTTTGCCAGCAACTATTTACTCAACATTTCCATTCAAACCGTCTTCTCCTCCCCTCCGTACCAATGGTCGACCCTGATCGTGGGACTCGCATACCTTCCCAGCTCCTTAGGCGCCGTTCTAGGTGCTATTATTGGCGGCCGGTGGACCGACTATTGCATGAAACGTGCTGCGTACAAGGCAGGGAGGGTAGATGGTGATGGAAGGCTTGTCTTTCATCCGGAAGACCGGATCAGCGAGAACGCCTTGGTTGCTTCTATCATGTACCCGGCAGCCTTGCTGTGGTGGGGCTGGTCAGCTGACAAACATGTATTCTGGCTTGTGCCGGTGAGTGAATCTGAGCAAAATGAAGGATGTCTGTTGTTATTTTTGTTGCTGATGACATGAGGATATAGTTGATAGCAAACTTCTTTTTTGGCTTTGGATTCATGCTCATCTCCAGTGTGACCACGACTGTGATGACAGAGTTTGTGCCCCAGAAAACCACCAGTGGTGTAGCTGTCACCAACCTTGTCCGCAACAGCATGGGCTGTGGTGCTGCCATTGTTGCACAGCCACTTATCAATGCAATTGGGAATGGCTGGCTCTTCACCATTGCCTTCTTTGTCTGCCTGCTCAGCGCGGCCATTGTCGTCCTCATGAAGAGAAACAGGGAACGATGGAGCGAGAAAATGAGATCAGCTATTGATTAGACGGGTTGAGCTGGAAGACAGCCTTGGTGGGCTGGTTGGTTTGGGCAAACACAATCCACTCTTGCTTTTGGAATGCCCGCTTATCCCGGAAGGTTTCTTCAGTCTCCTTTACTTTTGTTTCTATCAGTCTCATTTACGGAGTATGTTCCCCAAATTGTACGAGCTTTGTTCTTGGACATCCTTGGTGAAAGATAAGTACATAACAGTTGGACTTTTTTGGGCCAGGAAGGGGGGGAGGGGGAGCCACTCTGATCACAACAATATGGCTCCGCTTTCTAAACAATGCTCATAGATATTTATTAATAATACATAGAGTTGGTTTGTGTTGCGCTCCTTGTGATTGGGACCTCGACTTCATCTTATATCTATTCTGAAGACCAGTTCAATCTTAGCGTATACTTTCTCTTATAACTTCGCCTACAAAACCTCCCCGTGCCCATTTCTTTCATGCCTGGATCTCCTGTAGCTACGCCTGGTTTTCGTTCACGGCATTCCACCCCTGTGATTAAATTTTTCCAAGTCCTTAAGCTTGGAATTGTGGTAGGATATCTGAATGCTGACAGGTCACTATCGCTCTTTCTTGTCACACTGCTTTATACCAGATCTATTTTTACAACCAGCAGCTGACCAATTTCTAGAAAGTTAAGAGAAATTCCAATGAAGAAAGGCTTTACGATAAGGCTTCCTCGACTAGGGGTTTCTTTCACAGTACCATGAATATCATATGCCCTTGGAGTTCTGTATATACCTTTCTTTCTTCACACATGTACAATTGGCGTAAACCCAATCTCCCCATCTGATGTCACAGTAAACTTGTCCTGCCTAATGCCATCATTTTTACCTGGTTTCATGTCATATTGCTGCACAACGGAAATCAGCACAATTTTCAGCATAATTTCTGCAATGTTTTTGCCCAGACATCGCTCACGTCCGAATCCGAAGCGAAGAAATGCATAGCGATACGACATAGGCGACATGCTAGCAAACCGCTCAGGACGGAAGAGCTCACTATCAGAACCCCAAATGGCAGGCGTAGTGTTCAGGCGTTTCCAGTCAATGATAATCGTTGTCCCTGCTGGGACATAATATCCTTCGATTACCTTGTCAATTGCTGTCTTTTCAGGTAGAGAGAACCCTGTTGTTCAACCGGTTTGGTTTATTGTTAACAACCATAGTTTTCCCAATGAATACGCACAGATAACGATACTTACAGAGTGCAGGGCACATTCGGATAGATTCCATGACAGCATAATGAAGAAGCGCATCCTTTTTGGCAATGTAATCTTTGATATTATAGGATTCTTGGCTCTGCGTTGCTGCGATTTCTTCTCGGAGGGCTGCCTGGAAAGGCTGATTTTCGGAGATGTTGATGAGGAGAGAAGCAGTTACGGTCGATGTCACGTCGATATTGGTGAAAAGCAACTCGTCCATTGTTTGCAGGAACTTGTGACAGGGATATAAAACTTTAGCACAAATTATAAGGGGTTTTAGAGAGAGAGAAGGCCAGGGGGGTTAAGAAAGAAAGAAAAAGATTGGCATGAGCCTGAGACGAACCTCGGTTTCCGACATATCACCCAATTCGACGCCTTTGTAGATCTGTTTAGCTGGGCTGCGAAGCCCTTCCTACTTTGACGTCAGCAAGAAAAAATAGACAAAAATTAAAGAAAAAGATAAAAACAAAAAGAAGTCCATACAGCCTTCGCTCTTGCAATGACATCGTGGTTCAATTTCTTCCAGCCTTTTTGGAATGTCTGCATCCGTTTCCTAGACTCTGTTGGGAGAATATTGAAAATTTTGGAGACTGTCCATTTTCCAAAGAAGGCATCAAACATCAAAGTATCGTGAAGGTCGTTCAGATGAAGTAATTCTTCGTATGTCTTGTTCAGGTCAGCCGAAAGTTTTGTAGGTTGTATTATTATACATTATACAATGAAGCAACAAATTCATTAACTAACCTCGTCATTTAGGGCCTCGCCATAGGCAGTCAACGCAATCAAGCGAAAAGGCAAATACCGGCAAGCCTGAGATGCATTTTGGAAAAAGGTGTTTGCAGTATGTGAATTGCAAGATGAGCATTTGGGCAAGTTAGCCACCCAGTGCCTGATCTCTGCAGTGAATTTTGGTACCATGTCCATGCTGGCCAGGCGGGAGAATCCTGGGTCAAAATGGGCACGCATCATGGCCCATTTCCGTCCTCCTTGAACGCCAACCGAATTACCGAGAAGCCTAATTTATAATATCAAAAATGTCAGGAAAGCATTACAAGAAAAGACAATACTGTACCTACCGGCCAAAACAGTCTCCGAGATTCATATTCTTCGGTTTCATATGGTCTGAGAATAAAATCAGAAAAACAGCATCTCGCAACCAAGGAAACCAATAAAAGAAAATACACATACCTTTGGCATCTTTTCGAGCGAACTCCCGCAATTGTTCCGGCTGCGTAATGACAAGCTCTTGGAAGCGTCCATTTTGGACAAGGTACGGGTCATTGCCAGATATTTCACTTCCCTTTTGGGAAATTTCGGGGCTACCATGAGTCGTTTAGCCATGACACTTTCCTTTTTTCTTTTTAGTCAAACTTACCCATGAGAGAATCTTTGGAAGCGAGTGTCTTCCTTAAAAGCTTTGACTTTGAAGCCTTCGCTATTCGTAAAGGCTTTTGACCCCTAGTATCCAGTCAATTTACCATCTTCACCATACAATAAAAACAAGGAAGAACAACAACAGTGGAAAGGGGCAAGGCAGCATGGAAAAAGAGAACTCACATTTGTAAGAAATCTTGCACAAAGAGCAAGCAATGCAGAAAGAATGGAAGTAACAACCAGATAGTCCCAGGCATGGGTATTGGACATTGCGGATAACATATTCAGAGTAGTGGGCTCCATTGTACTAGTTAGTTAGTATCAAATAGGCTTCGCTTCGACGGGTTGATAGTTGACAATGTCTGCATTTTCCCAAGGCGCCTGGGAGGTTGTTTTTTTTTAATACTCAATTGAAAATCATATGCAAATCTTATGGAAAAGTAGTGGTAGCGTGTATTTCAGCTGAAACATGCTGAGGCTCTGGTAGATGCATGCTTATAGTCTAGTGCTTATGTTTAGACCTATATGTATGCTTACGGACCTAAACATCTTTGTAATATATCTCGACGCAGGCTTACAGGTCTAGACACATACGCACAGGCCTAAGAATGACATAATGTCACAAAAATCTTTTCTTTTCTTTTCTTTTTTATTTTTTATTTTTCGAGTATATTGAAGATGATGCTGCTAATTGTCAGTACCAATTTGTCAAACTTGTCGCGTGCGCATATACCATTATTATGTCACGTGACACGCTTTCCCTGAACAGTCCTAACAGAGTAAATCGTATCAAGGGAATCTTAGCATCCACTGACTTGAATCCTCTTCGTGTAAGATTTGATGGATTATTTCAAAAATATTGCTAATAACTACTAATATATGCAAGCTTACAGACCCAGCATGACTACTATGAAGAACAAAGGCTCCGAACAAATAGCCCCATTAATGTAATATTATCTCCGACTCCCATGTAGTCTATAAGGGAAACGCCTAGCAGAACGGAGGAAAGGAGGGGAACCGCAGTCTGTTGCAGTTCACTTCAGGACAACTTCGTTGATTCAAGTCTTCGAAACAACAGTTACAACATTTCCCTGTTTTCATCATGACTTCATTCCTCTTTCCTGCAACCACAGCATCCCAAGGTCTGCGCATGCGCAGAACCTACGGAACAGTTTACACGGACATAGTTAGGGCATCATCAGATGCCATCGACGCTCTGTCTCTTTATCGCCGTCTTATCTTTGATGAAGGACCCGGGGCAGAAAACGTTGGTTTCGCGGCATTCGATGCTCACGTTGGTGACACGTCCTGTCAACTGCGAGCTTGTATGTTACTTGACCTGACAAGACAACACAGAGAATGGGCAGCAGCGGGCAGTGGACACGTAACGTGGCTTGACAGTTACATCGAGAAGCTGAGGAAGGTACACGAAAATGGACGAGGGGTGCTTGCTAAACTGACCTTCAACCGCATCCATCCGGAAAAGCTGGGAATTGGGGCCGAGGAAGATACACCCACTGGTATCTTGAACCATTTGGGATGGAGTGAGCCAAAGATACCCGGCTGTCCTGAAGGTCTCTATCCAAATCTGTTGGAGGCATCCTCAAATGGTTTCGGTTTCCAGCATTGTTATGAACCTACAAAGGGACCGTCATTGGGAGCTATAGGCAAATTTTCGGTTGCCGTTGTTCAGGTTGGACAACCAGCAGAGAAGAAGAAACCCCGCGCAAAAGCGTATGTATCACCACTCTTGGACAACAACAGTACCGATGCAGCTGCAGCATGGGACCCAGTCGACACAAGAATTCTTGTCAGGTTCCTTGTATATTCCTTTGTACTTTCCAAGTACAAGGCTTTCCGCCAGTTCAAACATACTGTGGGTGGGCGCCTTCATCCCGAGGCAGCAATCTGTGAGGGCGATTTTATGGTGCATGATGTGTGGGAGAAGAGTGTTTGTGATTATAAGTATTCAAAAGCTCCACGGCGAATCAATCAGGAGTTTAGAGCCTTGCAGACCTGGATCTCAGAGCTGAGTTGTGCTTGGCTGTGTCATATAGCAAAGGGATCCACGGCCTCTCCTGGCATTGGGAAGTAAGTATCTAATCCCAAGAGAGGCAGTAAAGAGAACCCATTCTGACCATAGACTCTTCCAAAAAGCCTAATGGTACAGACCCTCCAAAATTCTTCAAAGAATTTAATGTGCATCCCAACATATGTGGGGTACCTGGCCATTCGAGAGCGATGGGGCAAGTACGGAGACTCTCTGATCCTGGTTGACCGACATTTTTGCAATGACGGTAAGTGTTTCATTGAAGCAAAGGCCCAAAATAGACCCGGGGACAAGAAAACATGCAGAGACTGACGGTAAACAAATAAAGGCTACCATTCCAACTTCTTCCTTGCCACACTGAAACTTGAAAGCACAAATGCAGGCTCTGAAAGTGGGCGCCCACAACACTGCCTTCCACTAAAGCACCATGTCAGCTGGAAGATTGTGCGGATCAGTAAAGACTGGCTCTTGAATCATCCTGAACAGAAAATGCCACATATTATTGTCATGGGGAACAGCATTGATGGGTCCGACGAAGACTATATGAGGGCAAACAAAACCAGTCAGCGACATGATAAACCAGATTGCCACCACAACGAGGAGCACGTTCTGAAGTTCCTAGCCCATGACCATGATCGGCTTGCCCTGTCTTTTTTTGCCCAACACAGACACTACGCCTTTGATTTGAATGATCAGAATGGAGAGGATGGCAATGCACTCCATGAGCATGCGGTAGTGGGGGAGCACATGGACCATTTCTTCCCCGAGCTGGCTCGAAAATGGTTCGATTCAAATAAAGAGGCAGATGAGATGGGGACAGCAGGTGCTTCCCTGCACATGTTTGGCTGGCAACATGTTTTTACCGAGACCAAGGGATGCATTGCAAAAATGGTTTCTGAAGCTAGAGACACATTACCTATTGCTGCACCACCCAGGAAACTGATGTGAAATCAGTGAGACACGAGTCAGCTACGGCTACCTAATTATCTTTACCAAATAGCTAGCTGCGTACGATCACTCACCTTTATTTCCCATTCGGGTCATTATTACTCTTGCGTATTTAAATTTTCCCGTCTCGCCAACGTGATGGATTGATGATACCGGTCGAGTATCCAACCTCTATGATGAGCCCGTCTGCCAGGAGATTGCCACAACCTGGCTTCTCTCGTATCGTAACCTAGGGTTCTAGTTAGCTAAGTCTCAGTTGGTGGGCACTCACCTGAGTGTCCTTCGTCGTCGTCGTGTATCGATAGTGACCCCTAAGGTCCGTCGTGTAATCTCGTGGTATCTCGCCCCAGGCAGGCTCCGTAGTAAAGTAGTATCGACAAGGTAACGAAGTAGAGAAACAAGGTCAACTGAGTACGTATACTCAGTTGTTGGTTTTAGTGCTGACGAGGCTGAACTAGAAGGTAACCAATGCTTAATTGACTAAGATAATCGCGAAGAACCAAACTAGGTACATGAATGAGTATCCTTATATATCCCCCGCGATACTGGTATGATGTTCTTGATGTATACCAGTATACCCTATACTGATCTGGCAGTAGTAGTAGTAGTAGTAGTAGTAGTAACGTATTCCACGGGCGAGCGGCGCGCACGGGCGAGCGGCGCGTTTTCCCCGCGACCACCAAATATTCGATTAACTACCTCCTTCAACATATTATATCTTCACCATTTCAATCCATAATGCCTAAATCTCAAGAATCTAACATTCAAATGGCTATATCTGCCTATAATTCGAAAAAAATCAAGTCAAAAAAGGAAGCTGCCAAGGTGTTTGGGGTATCTGAAACTACTCTTCGCGAGTGGCTCAAGGGAAGAAAACCACGCACAGAAACACGCGCAAATAATCATATATTATCACCTATTCAAGAAGAAGTCCTTGTTAAGCAAATACTGAATGCAGACAAACGTGGTTTTCCAATTCGTCCGGAGTTCCTACGTCAAATGGCTCAGATACTGCTTCAAAAACAGACCCCTACCTCTACTCCAAACATAGGAGTCAACTGGGCATCTACTTTTGTTAGACGCCATCCACAACTGCGGA